GCAGTTATGTTTGGAATGCCCTTGAGAACACATAAACCTGCCCATTGTCCTTCTCTCCATCATAACATTGCTAAAAGCTACTTTGCAGGCATTTGCTTATAACAAAACAAGGCCCTAGGCCTACTCAGAGACACTGTAACTTCATAGAGAGACTATATCTGTGTCAAACATCAAAATAAACAGTCATGACATCAGCAGTTACCTAAAGGGCATTGCTTCATACTTGTTGATTATTATTAGTGGCATAAACAGCTTAGATTTCTCAGCCATATGTTTCGTTATACCTCACATATTTTTCTATTTAAAAGATTCCCAGTGGTATTAGTAATATGTATGGCTTTATTTATAGTGCACTGGTGACATCATTAAATAGGTAAAATTGCGAACAAAACATGCCATGTTCTCATTTGCCTAATGCTTTAATGGAAGATCAATATGCTGCCTAAAAGAAACTGGATATCATCCTGACTACTGTCCTGCAGATGAACCTAATCAAAAGATAGTTTTGTTTGTGTATTTTGGATGGGATTTTCCTGCAGTGGTGGTTTCAGTGGAAAAAATTACTTGCAAAATAAAGCGCTGTCAGCCATATATTCACTGTAACTCTGCCAGCACAGTTAGTTTCATTTAGATCTAGCCTACAGGATATTTTCATGTAAATGTGAAATCCAAGGGTAGCTATAGCTCCTCTGCGGCCTGGATACTTTGTTCAAACCAAGCCACCAAACTTCATGGGTACATAAGAAGCTGCCTTCTGCCATGCAACCATCAGTCCATTGAGGGCAGCAATGTCCACATGTGCTGGCAGTGACTCTCCATTTGGTTCACACATTCAGCAAAAGGATAGCTCAGTTTGTGTAGACTCTGTAGCAACTAGATCTAATAAAGGGTGCAGGCAAGTTGTGGAACTCCTGTCAGTCTGAGCCAACACTACCAATGGTGAGGGATAATTGGAGTTGTAGTCCATGAAAATCTGGTGGCCAACAAGTTGCCCAGCCCTGCTAATAGTATATCTTAAACTCCTTAATCTTCACTCCATAAAGGGAAAGCGTGATTCCAGGTTACAATCTCCATTTTTGATCAGCTGTGTACCTGTTCTCTTATATGTTACAGCTGCATCCAGCATGCAAATTGGCTTTATCACAGTAATGAATATTGGGCTTTTTTACAATAATAGTGTACTATAATTCACCATTTGCTGGATTATTAGCTCTTTTTTGTATATACATTGGCAGAATTCAGGCTTGCATCCTCTTTTTTATTTAAAAAACTTAGCTCAGCATTTATTGAAACCAGAAATAATTCAGTACAGATTTTCCTATAATGCATACATATTGAAAGCACCAAGGAGTTCACATTTTTTTTTCCATTGGCAGTTTTATTCTGAACCAGCAGCAAAAACATGCAACATGATTCCTCCTCTGTTCCACAGTTAGTGAGAGAGCAATAAAATTCCTTTGTCTTACCAGGCAATCCTAAAAATAGAGCACTCCCATATGTTGGACCAACAGTTGTTTTAATTAGTTTGCAATATTTATATCTAGCTATTTTCCAAGGAACGGCAAACACAGGATTTCCTGATGGCCTCTTATCCAGATACTAGATAGGCCAAGCCTGCTCAGGAGTTATTCAGATAAGTTAATTCCCACTAAATTATGGCCCTTGACTCACAGAATGTGACTCAAAGCACAATATCCAAGTCCAGTAAAATAGATGAAAGAAAGATAGCTGTATCTCTGGGAGATGACCATTTTGTTGCCTTCCTCCTTTAAAAAAGTATCAGTGGGAATAAATAATCTTCCAAAGAACAAATATAAATCAAATTCAAGCAGAAGCAAATGAAATCTGTACCAAGATGGGTGTGCAGAGTGACATTCATTTTCATCATTAGGCTGGATAAATTTTCCTGTGCTTAGATAGTACAAATGGGAAGTGCTTAAGTGTGAAAAAATAATTTAAATGTCACAAACAGATGCAAGTCAGTTCAGGATAGTTACGTTACTTGTCACTATTCACTTCTTAGGTAATATCCAGTAGATGTATGTGACACTACAGCATTCACATTCTACACAGCGACTGCTATAGCAATAGTTGAAAACAACCTCAGAAGGATGTTGTTCCCTTAGGTACAAAATATGATACATCCAGTAAAAAGAAAATCCCACAGCCTTGAAACAAAACAGAAGATTGTGGGAAACTATTTCTACTTATACAGGAAAAGGATAATGGCTACAATAAGATGCTAGCCATTATCATATTGAAGAGATGATGGGTTGGATCCAGACTTTGCTATGCTTTGAGTAATTCTATTGTACTCAATGGAACTTAGCTAACCCACTAATTTGTCCCACTGATTTCAATGTATCTACTCACAGTATGGCTTAATCTGGATTCATCTCCTTTTAAGCAACTGGTTTGCCATTCTGTTTAGACAATATTTTCACATTAGGGTTATTTTTGCCAACCCTGCCTTATATAGGAAAGTATTTTTGTTCTTTCATGGTAATTGAGACTTTCTGAAGTAGCTCTTGAACTACTTTATTTTTTAGTGTATAGTGTAGTCTTTATTTTGACCCATACATCTTCCAGTGTTCAAATGCATTCTGATCATTTTAAGTCTCATAAAAAAAAGTTAAATGGCATGACACAGTTAAAACTCAAGAGGAAGTTTGGTCTCATGAACAGCAAACACGTCCTAGCTATTTCCTTATGATGTATATCAAGTGACAATCATGAATCTCTTACTAGAAAAGTAACCAAATACCCTATGTGCTAGGTAGCTGCTCTGATATGACCGTGCATATCCCAGTCAAAATTACTTTCTTACTTCATTTGCCATTTTCCTGGTGTTTTAACTAGATCAGCAGATTTTCCAGTACTTCAAATTTCATTTCCTTTTTAGAGAATCTGTTCCTAATCAACATGCATAAATATACTAATAATCATGCACTAGTCACTTCAAAACAGACGCCTCTTTAACCCTCATCCACATTGCAGCTTAATACATGTTCCTGCAAGGCCAGCTTTACATGATAGTACTATGCAGTTTTTAGAACTTATATTAAAATGGTTATGCCTGGGAGATAACCATTGGTAACTCACCAAAACGTATTTAAAAGAATGTCATGGATAGTAAAGCCAGTTTTTACACAGGGAACCATATTAGTTTAAGAATACTCACTGTGAGCAACTATCAATGAATGTCCTTGTTTTCTGTAAAGACTTTGAAATTCAAGGGTAATACACTATCTGGGATAACAATAACAAATACAATCACAGAACCCAAACTCCTGAAAAGCAAAGGATCTAAAATGTTTAACTTTTGTTGGATGGTACTATGGATTAAACTGCACACTCTTGAGTTGGTCAGGCTTACAAAAGAAGCTAAAATACAGTTATTCACCAGGCTCTTACATGTAATGACTACACTGTATAAAACATTATCAAGTATTTGAAGCCAAGGGTATTGAGTATATGATATTGCCATCTGAGATGCCATTGGTTAATGAAAGCTAAGGGGAGTGTTTTACTAATGCTTTTGGGGAGTGATTCAATGTCTATTTTGAGGTGCAAAAGTGGTGAAATCCTAGTTCCTTCCTTGTATTTATATTTACATTGTGAGAAATAAGGATAGCCCCATTTTGAAACATGCAGTAGTTTACAGCTGCTCATAGGAAAAAGGCTCCTGGTGGTCTGTTCATATGATCTGAGGTAGGCTAGAATGTATTTGGGGATGAACAGCTGCTCATATTCTATTTCTTTATTCATATTTTGTTACTACTGGGAAGGACACAGACACCCTATTTGTGAGCTCTTGTTGGACAATCCCTTGGAGGCCGAGTCACATGACCTAAAGTGATTCAATATATATCTTTGAGGTACATCACTATGGAAATCCTAATCTTCAGTTTAAATTTTGCTTCCATTGTAAGAGATGAAGGCACTCCACTCAAAACTGTGTTGAAGATACAGGCAGTTCTAAAAGAGCATAATGAAATTCTCCTAGTGATCCAGCCATATGATTTGATGTACTCCAAAGCTTTGGTGCAGAGCTGGAGAAGGGCAGGAAATTCAGCTATGGAGTCAACTGGGGGACTCTGGGCCAGTGACAGTCTCTCAGTCCAACCTACTTCACAGGGTTATTGTTGTGGAGATAAGGTTGAAAGCAAGAGGATTATGTAAGCTACGCCAAGTTCCCGGTAAGTAAAAAGGTGCTACATAAAGTGAATAAATAAAATCGAATTCCTGTTATTTACAGAGGTTGCATTGCTAAACTACATAATGCACTGAGAACCTTCTCTGGTCTCACTATGAACAACTTTTATCATTTCAGAAAGCACTAGATTCCTCCAGGATGGAATGGTTTTAGCATGTCTGACCACATTTCCAGGATCACTGGAGTAATAGTTAAGCAATCAAAGTGTCTGAAACACTTTGAGAACATGAATAGTGCTTAATAACGGCACTGCTGTAAACTGTCCCACGTCGTCTGTGACGGGACGGTATAGAAAAATTTTAAATAAATAAATAAAGGTGTAAAAGGAACTCTAAAGCTCTTTCCAGTAAAACAGAGAATTTGCCTTGCCTGCTTTGCTGAACAGTTGCGACAACAGAAAACAAATTATGGTATATATAAAAGGAAAGGCTGATGTGGCCACTTATCTTGGAAAATGTTTGAACCCTTTTGGGGGGAAAAAAAGCAATGGCATTTGAATACCAAAACCAGCGCGAAATGCTTTATATTCCTGACAGCTATTTTTAATGCATTGGCACGAACCTCCCATTAAACCCGCGACTCCGCTCCATTCTCACAACCAAGGAACACCCCCACGGACACCTTTCTCTTGCCCTCAGCAAGAATGGCCGCTCACATCTACCGGAACAGAAGCGGCCCCTACTTCTCCCTGTGTAACCAGTTGCACGTGTTCCCATGCGTGTGCCCACAGTCCTTACGTCGACGGTATCAGCCGGGGAGGAGACGGAAGTGTCGAGTTAAGTGCGCGCCGGCGGAGAGGCGGAGATTCCCTGCCTGGCGCGTCTGCTGGGTGAGGATGAATAGTCGCTTGCAGGAGATCAGAGAGCGGCAGAAATTGCGCCGGCAGCTCTTGGCCCAGCAGGTGGGGGACGATGGCGCGGCCGTTGGGAGCGGCCTGGGCCGTGGCGGCCGCGCGGCCGGTCTGCAGCATGGGGGGCGCCGCGCGTGCGTTTCCGTTCCCCGGGGGGAGGGGAGCCCCCTGCGCTGCTCCCTCGATAGGCGCCGTGATGAGCACTGGTGGGCTGCTGCCGCGTGAAACTCGGGTGGGAGCGCAGGGAGTGCTCCGTGACCCCCGCGGCGGGCTGCCGGCGCCTCCGTATCGCGGTGGAGAGGAAGGCTGGGATCATCTGCCGCTCAGTGGCGCCTCTGAATGTTTTTAGCAAAGGGAGTGAATTTCAGGGTTTGTGCAGCACCTTGCACTTTAATATATAATACACCTTGCAGCTGTTTACGTTTACTCTAAAACAAGGCCGGACGACTTGTGGCCCTGCAGATGTTTTGCTGTACATCTCCCGTTAGCTGTTGCCGGCATTGCCAAAAAAGAGGAGTGAGAGGAGTTGCAGGGCCAGACTTCTGGAGGAGTACAAGTTGCTGTCTGCCTGTGCCCGAAGAGAGTTACACATTCATGCAGAGCAGGTTGAAGGATGTCTTCTGTAAAACCCTTCCTCCAGATCATGATGCAAGTGTGGTGTGTTGGACTGGGGATCTAGGAGATCCGGGTTTTAGTTCCTACTCAACCATGCAGCTGGGTGACTATGGGCCAGCCATTCACTTTCAGCCTAACCTACCTCATGAGGTTGTTGGAGTGGAGAGGGACCAGAGACTATTAGGAGTAGGGGGCAACATATAAGTACATATTTAAATATGTAAACTGTGTTGTGTTCCTTACAAGAGGGAAAAAAGGTGGAATATATATGCAATGTAATAAAAATAGTTATAATAATGATACAATGAGCTGTGAGAGTCAGTATGGCCTGCATTTCACTGAATGAGAAGACAACAGTTTAAATTCTGGGCAAGTGCATACTCAGCTCAAGTGTCTTCTAGGGTCATTGGGAGGATAAAAGGGGAAATCATATATGCCATGCTCAGCTTTTTGGAGTAATGATAGGATAAAAAAACATAACAAAAATAATAACTAACCTATATTTCAAAGGCAATATGGTGGTACAGTGTATAATGCTGCCCAGCTACTGATGGTGAATCCAGAACATTAGCAAGAAATTCTGTTGGGCAGGCTGTTGTTCTCGGATATAATGTACATATGTGCATACTCTTTTAATGTAGCATATGGAGAGAAGGTTGGGTAGCTTTTTAAGGAATCGGTACTGATTCTGATGAAGTGCCCAAGACCTTGGTAAGAAATCTACAATACCCAGCCCATTCTCTTCATCTCACTATAGGACTTTTGCAAAGGGATGTGTATGTAATCCTAATGTATACATGTTGGCATTTTCCCTGCATATATGTAGGGACTTAGAGTCATGTTCTGAGACAGACGCCTACACAGAATTGCAGAAAAACAAAACTAAGAATCTGATTCTGAATTGTTAGCATTTGACTGTCTCACCTGTCACTTCTCTCAGGTTGTTGCTAAATTCTTCCTAGCTCCACGAGATTATAAAGGTACACAAGAATACTGCATCTCAGCCAGCCATATTTTCAGGGAATAAATGCAACCCATATAACTGAATTAGAGTCCTGAGGCATGGAGTAATAATATATTTCAGAGATAAGAACCAGAGTGCTTCTGAACCACTTCTTGGGCCCAGAGTCTTATTTGTTTGTATAGGGCTAGGTTATATACAGATCTTCCTGGAACACATGTGCTCCATCACCATTCAGAGAATTCTCTCACACATGCACACAGAGAGAGCGTGCGCGCGTGGACGGGGGAGGCACATGCCCTCTGTTTGTAATAAAAGCATTTACTGGAGGGTGTTTCATTTAAAAAAATGTTTCATACTGTGGAGATTACATTCTGAAATAAAAGTTTCTTAAAATAACAGTTAACTAACAATCCCTTTTCACTTTTTTAACAGCCTTCAAATCAGGTGACCTGATATAGTTTCCTGATGATATAAGTATGCTGTTTGAGTTGGATGTTGAACCTGTAGATCTGCTTCTCTTTATCATATTTTTAAAAGTTCCCCTACTGTGTCAGCTTTAGCAATAGCTTAGAATGTAATCTTATCCAGGTTTAGGCAGAGAAAGGTCTGGCTGAGGAATGCTGTTGCAGGATTTTTTTCTGATTAAACACATGCAGGATGGTGTTTCTAGAAACTACTTGAGATTTTATACCCACAGGGTTGTTGAAATGCAGGAATCTGAGGAAAAATACTAGCTCCTATCACTTTGCTTCATACTTGGGTAAAATGAGTACTATGATTACCATTTATCAAATGTACATAAGAGCAGACACATAAATCATGAAATTTGCTTTCTGTTGTATGAATAAGAAGACTGGAATATACTTTAAGGAAGATTAGTTGTTAAAATGCTGCTGGTCATTATCCTCTTACGTGGGGATAGCCCCCATTGAATTCTGTGTTATTTACCTCTGGGCTTGGGGCTGTATAGCTTTAGGTAGTAAGCATACTCAGTGCTTTTATTGGGCCTTTTCATAAGATAGTTTGTTCTGTGTAGATATTTCACTGGTTCAGCCTTGTTTTTAATCTCACCTGGTCACTGTAGTTGACAAGAAATTGTAGTTGACAAGCACATAGAATCCAGCAAGACAGGACCCAACAAGGCAGGCCATCTAAAATGGAAAAATGGTGGAGTAAATGAAGTAAAATATTTATTATAATCCAATGCATTTTGAATCCTAACAGTCCTTCATCAAAATAAACAGAATAAAGAAGTTCTATTTCTGATTTTTATACTGGCTCTTCAGCCTCCTGCACCCAGGGCATTTTTCCTTTGGACACACATTACATCAGTTGAATTTCACTACATGCACCGTGGCTTAAACAAAGTGTTTCCAAGAAAAAAAACAAAGGATGCTATCAAATACCTTTAGAAACAACTCTTCAGCTTGTTGTAAATGCAAATGCTATACCTAAGTTAAAGCTTTTACTAGCATTAATGTCTGCCTTTTTGTTAATGTCTGCCTTTTCCTCCTCTTCTAGTTGGGGGCTGAAAGTGCTGATAGTATCGGTGCAGTATTGAATAGTAAGGATGAGCAGAGAGAAATTGCTGAAACAAGGGAAACATGCAGGTTTGTATTAAAAGAGGTCTGTATTGCTCACAATGGGAGCATTTCTAGATGTTTCCTTAGGGGGTTGCATCAATTTTGTTTTGGACTAATGTAAATATTAGGAAACAGATCCCATAATTGGGGCAGAGGAGTGACAAATGACAAATAACACAATGTGTTCATTACTATTATGAACATAATTTATAAACATGTTTAAAGCTGTTTGTAAGTTCTCTAAGACACAATCTTAGACATGCTTAGGCAGAAAGAGTCCTACATGGCTGGCAGGGCATACTGGGAGCTCTACTTTTTAAAGTCTAAATGTGCATACAATTTCACTTTAAATGTTGGTGCCTGAATTTATACCATACCTATGGCAAACCTTTATGCCAAACAGGAGTTCCTTTGTACTGATGAATGTGATACCTGTAAAATAGGTACATTGTTATATTCAAAATATAATCAGTCTAGTTAATGGTAATTAATACATGACTATGTAGAAAAGTCAATGCATATATAATACCAAGCTATGCCTTAGTAAATAGAACAGGATCACAAAATACTGTTCCCTCTGAGCTAGTGGGTATTCACATAGGATAGGGAAGAACTTGTATGTGAATTTTTGCTAACATACCAGTTCAGTTAAGGAAGCAAAATAATCTCTTAACTTTCATCCATTATACTACTCTAATTCCCTTCAGAACTTTAGCCATGAATTAGCAGAAATAAATAGTCCTTGTGTAATCAGTGGAAGGACTGAGAGCCTGATTCAGTAGAGAGGGCTGTTAAAGAGACTACATCTGCAGTGCAGCAGAAAGGATGCTGCTTTACTGTTGTGATATGCCATGAAAGAAAAGATGGTGCCAAAGCCAATAAGATAGGAAACATTACAGAATCTTAAAGGCAGAAATAAGTGGAAGACTGTTCAAACCAATACTTTTATGAAATGTGTTAAGGCTAGATCAGTGATGGCGAACCTTTTACAGACCGAGTGCCCAAACTGCAACCCAAAACCCACTTATTTATCACAAAGTGCCAACACTGCAATAAAACCTGAATACTGAGGTTTTAGTTTAGAAAAAACAACTCATACATTAACATGTTTTGTCTTAAAAGAAAAACACAATAACAGAGCTTTCAATGATACAATCAGCTTTTTATTGAAATGTAAAAATTTGCATTTGGTGTGCTTTTGCACAATTAATGTGATCTTTGCTGTTGTATGCATGCTGATAATTTGTCAAATCTTGGCTCAAATATGCCAGAGGGACAGCACAACATTAAAAGAATCTCAGTTTCTTGATTAGAACATCTCTTTGCTAAATCTTAGATATTAACTTTCAGTAAGAAAACTCAAAGCTAAAATCTTGTGTTAATAAAAACAAATGTATTAAAACTCACAGCCAGTCCAAACAAATATATATATCCTTGGCTGCACACTGACTGGCCATGTGAAAGCTCAGACAAGCCACGACAATGAGTCACGGCTCTTGATGTCATCACCTAGCGCCAGTACTTCTTTCTGAGCATGCGCATGCCTGCTGTGCGCATTGTTATCCGATGCTTGGCTGCTAGGGCGATGCTGGGGTGACTTGGCTCACATGTCAACAGAGTGGGCTCTGTGTGCCCGCTGCGGCATGCGTGCCATAGATTCTCCACCACTGGGCTAGATTGTTATGCTTCACATTTCCAGGGCTGCTTATGATACATCTGCGCCAAATGCCAGACGCAAATTTCCAGATGAGGGAGAGGCTGACGAAGAAGAAATAGAAGAATATAAGGTAAGAGAATGATGAAACAATAGCTACTGTGTTTCCCTAAAAATAAGTCCAGGTCTTATATTAATTTTTGCTCCAAAACACGCTTATTTTCAGGTCTTATTTTTAGTTATGAAAGCTGTAAGATTCTTGCCCCAAGAGTCCTTCACGATTCCTTTCTTGTACTTGACGGAATAGCTCTTTCTTTTTGCAACCATCTTGCATTTTGCATCCATGCATTAAGGACATCCATTACACACATGATGCATTGATGTTATTCGTGCGTTATGTCTGTACTCTCATCATTTGGCAATAAGCCTCACATTCATCTGTTTACATAGGCCTTTACCTCTCGTCCAAAGGCGTCTGCTTCGGAATTTACAAATTATGATGTATATTATCATTTAAGTATTAACACCAATAATATTATTTATTTATATTTTATATATATTGACATTATTTTATAATTAAATACTACTGTGTTTCCCCATGCATTTGGCTGATGATCTTAACTAGGGCTTATTTTTTGGGGTAGGGCTTACATTAAGAGCATTCCAAAAAATCATGCTAGGGCTTATTTTCTGGTTAGGTCTTATTTTTGGGGAAACACGGTATTTATATAATGGAAATGCATGGTTCAGTCTTTCTAATGGAGATTCAATTATCTGTGGTGTTAGTTTGCAGGGGCATTTTAATAATACTAACATTTTCAGAGTACTTTGGAAATGCTTCTTTTAACATTCAAGACTGTTTTTTATAAAAGTGGTTTTATAGCCTTAGGTTCCTTGTTTCTCCTTGTTCCTTTTTGTTAAAATGTAATCTTGGTGCAAGAGCCAGGATTTTGCAGCTATCTCTGGGAGAAAAGCTATCTTGGTGCCTTAACAACATGGTACACCGATAAACACACAGCCACTTTATCTTGAAACCTTACATTGGCTCTCTAGTGAAATAAGCTGCTCTTGATGTAGGAAAAAATTGCTGGCATTTTATTTGGTATGACAGCTCCAAGTATGATGTGAAATAATAAGGAAAACCCAGTGTAGTGAAGTAAGAAGAACACTCTAGTTAAGAGTCAGAAAACTGTGCACAACCTATGGTGGTACACCTCATGTTAGGATGCGATAAATAATCTTTCTGTCTGCTAGGGAACAGGAGCTGAGTGGGGGTTTGTTTCCATTAACTTCTCATTTTCATCTAGTTTTTGCTTGCCAAGTTTCTGACTGGAGTTTCCAGACTTGTGTGTTTTCATTCTGCCTGTGTCAGGACTTTGCTTTAGATGAGGGGGTAGTGGGAGAAACACACATGCTTCTGGAAATGAACTGCCCGTGTCACCTGTGGAATCCTCCTAAAGTCTGGGTAGTTGTGTTCCCCCCCCAAGCTTGCTGCAAGAGTCTTGCATCCTCTGCAGTAGTCTTCTCTCAACCTAGTGTTGCCCATTTTGCCTGGACATGATAGGAATTGCAGTCCAAAACATCTGGTGGGCAACAAGTTGGGCAACTGGCTCACTCAACAGGAAGAGAACCACCATAATTAGAACCACCAGCTTTCCTTTAATTCACTTAATTCCCAATAGGTGGAAATCCCTCTGTTTGCATAGTATGAAATGTGTAAAAGTTTTTTTTCCTGGCTGTTTGACTTCTGGTCTCTCCTTTAAGGTAGCAGGATTAAAGTAAAGTACTGAGTGAAATGCAAGTGGTTCAGTAGCCTCAGTTATAACATAGAGAGGCATCAGATCTTGTTCTGTCTTCCCAAACTTGCATTGGAACTACTCATGATCTGCTGTTGCAGGAGGCTAATGTTCATAGACAACCCTCTTCTTCCTTCATTAAGAAGCCGAGTGATAATGAGAAGAGAAACATCCTATCTCTACATGCATATAAAATGTGCTTTATTCCAAAGGATGAAGTAGAGCTGCAGCAAGATGATGAGAATCTTCCATATGAAGAAGAAATTTACAAAGATTCCAGTACTTTTCTTAAGGTAACCAATTCATATATCTTAATGTTAACTCTTGTTTACTTTGAATTATTTTGCAGCTGAAATAAATGAAAATACATATTTAGAACCTGAACATTCATGTTGGAGTAGTAAAAGCTTTTCCATAAACATTTGTAAATAAATGTTAGGACATATGGCCAATTTCAAATACTAAAGCTGTAGCCTTACTGCTTTATTGTGGACAAGGCAAAAGGACTTGTCTAAGGAATGGTTGCTGACCTACTTGGGTAGCTGTCCACTTCGTGTCAGATGAATATTCAAAGTATTATAATAATATTTAACTTATATATTATTTGTTACAAAATATAACTGGATATTTTTTGTATTAGGAGGTTCTATACTCAGGCAAGCTAGAGTAGTAGATCTGAAGAATATCTGCAGATAATTGAGCCAAATCTTGTGCATAGACTCGAGATCTTCCATGTGCACATATCACTGTCAATTCAGTGTATCTATAATCTGTTTCATCTTACCAGTCTTTATTATTTGGTATTTTCCTTCCTTAGGGCACCCAGAGCTTAAATCCTCACAATGATTACTGCCAACACTTTGTGGATACTGGACACAGGCCTCAAAACTTCATCAGAGATGTGGGTATGTTTGAATAACATGACTAAATTAACTGAAGTATTTCATGTTTCATGCATGGCTTCTGTATGTGGCTTGCAAGCGATTTTCCAATCAACTAAATGAGTGATACCTTTGCAATATTAAAATGTTTACTCAAATCTGAATAATAACTGAATTTTATATTTTCAAAAGTAGGGAATCAGCCATTACATGTTTCTCCCAACAGTCCTTGGTGAAAAACTGAAATCTGCATTGCTCCTAGTTAAAGCCTAATCTGTGTAACATGCATTATTCCCTAGCAAAGGCTAATCCCGTGCACCTCCTTCTCTAGTGTAGACTTCAACATTGCGAGCCTTTTTTCCTCCTCTCCCTCCTCATTTAGTAACACTGGCTGGTGATGAGATCTTGAACATTTGCCTACAATTACGCATTTCTGTTTTTTCCTAATGAAAGTATTATCTGAGTGTGGATTTTGGAAATTTTCTTGGGGACAGCATAATTGATTTGCAATTATTTTTGATTTCTGATTTTTTAAAAAAAATCTTGTCGTAGGAAAAGCATCTTATTTGCATCTGTCTTCTGCATACAGTGTATCTTTTTGCTGTATGAATTCTTTTTCAGAAATTAAAAAAGCTTCGTATTTTTATAGAACAGGCACATTGTGATGGGGCTGTTATGCTCAACAGGTGCAAAATGCTGTAATTCCTTCAAGAATGTTATGCACAGAAAGCAACATTTTTATTTAGGCAACCTTTTGCCTATTAATCTAAAGACCGTTCAGTTAGACAGTTGTGAAAAGGCATTAAGCACTCATTTTCAGAAATTCTGAATAAGTTTCTTGAAAATATTGTGCATCAAACATACTGATTACTTGATCATAAAGCATGCAGGGGCTTGCAGTGCAACATCAGTCCACAGTACAAGTGTTTTTATTTATCATCCTTATTAAAGAGTAATACAAGCATACAGTTAAAATTATTTTTCAAAAGAGAACTGTTATAGGCTATTCTAAGGTTGCATGTGTCGTAGTTACAGAAGTTGTTTGTTTACTGCAAGTGCTAGTGATTGGGTGTTAACATACTTGTATCATGAGCTTGGCTAAATTGTGAGTGTTGAGCTCACATCCTAATGAAAGGAAACAGTCTGTCTGAGAGGGTCGATCATATATATTGGGCATCTTTCCCTGTGACCACCTGTCTGTGCAGTTTGCATTCTGTAGTATGAAACTGTAATATTTTCCCCATAGGCTTAGCAGACAGGTTTGAAGAATATCCAAAGCTTCGGGAGCTTATCAGGCTGAAGGATGAGCTAATATCTAAATCCAACACTCCCCCTATGTAAGTACATTTAATGGATCAGATTCTTTTCTCTAGACTGGCTTAACATTAGCTGACTGCTAAGTAAGATTCATTCTTTAGACACCTGTTTAAGATTTACATGTTCTATTTTGGGTTGTATTTGTAAAATAAGCAATGTGGACTTCAAAGGAATCTCTCCATTTTGTTATGGTTATTTAATTTGGTATCTTAATTGCTGTGTTTAAAGCAGACTTTCTTAACAGATGGTAATAGCTTTTGAAAGTTTCCCCCATTTTCTACCCTTTTACAATTTGCAAATAAGTAGAGTCAGCCAGTCCTGAATTGAAACTGATCAATAAAAGTCAGTAGGAGACGATAAGTCACCATTCCAGTGAGCTATAGTAAGAATTGTTTTATTGTTGCAGTATTTCGTAAAGCAATTATATTAATTATCTAATTAATTTTCTTGGAGAAAGTGCACAGAAATTTTACTGAACAGAATTTTGGAGTAAATTAGGAAATTGACTTTAACATTTAATTTAGTATCTGCAAATTTCAAAAGGCACTGTTCGCAACCTGCTTTTTGCTCTAACAATTATTACTACATTGCATTTATATTGTTTAATGATGTCCAGTTTTATAGCAATATTTGTAAACTTTAATACTAGGATAATTGTGGTCCGATTAGTTTTTAGACATCATTTTCTGTGTCCTCAGAACACGTTTGGTGATCAGTTATTGTTAGGGCTATTTTGCAAATTTCTTCAGTGTTGCAGGCTCCTTCAGAGTGTATTGTTGCTTGTATATATGTAAATAAGAAATACTTTTGTCTTGCACCAAATTTTTCATAATATCTATTTCCTTGTTAAATCAAGAGCACTGAGAAAGTATTAGCACAGAAAACACTGCACTGAATTTTACTTTTCACTTCTATGGATAGGTATCTACAAGCTGACCTAGAGGCTTTTGATCTCCGTGAACTCAAGTCCAAGTTTGATGTGATTCTTTTGGAACCGCCACTAGAAGAATACTACAGGGAGACTGGTATTACAGCTAATGAGAAGTGCTGGACTTGGGATGATGTAAGTTCTGTAAAGGAATGACATTAAGAGTGCAATTTGTGCATATTTACAAAGAACCAAACCCTCTAACTCCCAGCATGTTCCAGCCAGTGCCTGAGAGGTAGTGCTTTTGTGATTTCTTGAGTTATTCCAGAGGTCTTCTCATGAGGAAAATTATGTTCAGGGAAGATCACATCTGATCCAGTGGCTCTAGTTCGGGCTAGGAAAGCCCTCTGAGCATGTTGAGAGCCTCTGTCAGTTGGTGCAGATGCTAAAATTGAAGTCGTTGGAAATGCTAAAATTGGCTTGGTATAAGGCAGCTTCCTCTGTCCTGCCCTGCTGTTATTCTTGTCATTTATGTCATTTCTATAGAGAGCCAAAGCTCTCATTGCAGTTTTATGTTAAGTGGGGATGATCTTCAAAGCAGGAAAGGTGAATGATACTTTTTTTTTAACCATGGGCCCATGGTAGTTTCAACATTTAACTAATATGCAAGCTGGAAAGGGGGCATTAGCCACCAGTCACCTATTGTAATGAATGGATTTAAAAGTAACCAGGCAATTATGAGACTGATAATGGTTAGTGAAGGCTGTCATGTAGTGCAAAAGTAAACCAGGACAGCACTTTCCTTACCTTTCTTCGGTGTAACAAATCAAATTGGATTATTTGGGGAAGAATCAGACTTTTCTGTTTTTTCAATCCTAGTTTATGGGTGAATAGACCATATTCCTCATTTAAAAGAACAGTTGTGAATACGTATATAAACATAAACAAACTACTGCAGTATTTGATACCAGCAGGGAGAACTCTGAGATATATGATTTATAGGTGTGTATTCTAGAAGCAGTTTAGTATGGATTATGAATTTTATTCTGTCTCAGAGCCTCATTGATTGACGCTACCAGTCTTCCTTGTGGTACTGAAATAATCATGTTAATTAGTAACATAGGAATAATCCTTTCTGCTTGTAGGTATCTGTAGCTTACCACATTCCATGCATCTTTCACCTCTAGAATTTTTTTCATATGGCTCTGTTCTAACACATGCTTTCCCTGAAGATGGAAATAAGAGATGATTATTTAATGGACAGTATAATAGTTTAATAGATAGGATCAATACTTACATGTTATATCATGTGTTTTGAGAAGGAGTGACCGCATAATGAAAGCATCTTTGTACTTGAATAGTTGATAAATGGCACTAAACTGAAATACTTTAGTCACATGGGAATTGATACATACCCTTGGAAATTAAAAATGTTTGTTTTATATAGATATAAATGTTAATGAAGTCAGTAAAAATCACAATATAATTTTGGTTTATTCATTTGGACTAAAACTGAATATTTTCATTGACATATTTTTACTTTCATTTCAGTCAAGAACAAATATGTGAAACATAGAGTGGGGAATTTTAGGAAAGTGGCTTATTTGTAAGACTGCTTATAAAGATGAACATTTGTGATATTTCTAGTGCCTCTGAATCAGTTGTACATATTTTCTGCCCTTTGTAGATTATGAAACTAGACATTGAAGAAATTGCTGCCCCACGATCGTTTGTCTTTCTTTGGTGTGGTTCTGGGGAAGGCCTGGATCTTGGCAGAGTGGTAATATGATACTCTCTACCTGACACTGAACTGCATAATTACTCAGAACTTATAGGGTCTGAATAGGGTCTAGCCTATTCAGTTACTCATGAGTAACCCCAACATGAAAGCAGGGCCCCACCTAATAGCTCTGTCCCTGATTTCACACATGGCAAATAGCTGTTGCTTTTGGTGTTTGCATTTACCTGGCAAGCACATCAAGAAGAAGGCTTTCATTTGTTCAGAATATAAAGGCTGCCTCCCTACAGGCATTTGCACTGTCTATATGGATACCAGGAGAAGGCATTCTTGGTGTAGCCCCGATCCCTGCCTGCGTATTGGGATGAGTATAACATCTGAACATGGATTCTGATTTTGACAATTTAAAGTGCAGATGATCTTTTACTGTTCTTCTAGTAACAGGTTAAGATAGATATAAAATAATTTAAATATTAATCCTGATTTTCTAGATGAACACCTGTGAAAAACAACTGCACTTTGTAATATAGATTTTTTATAACTTCTCCAGAATTAGGGTACCTTATGCTGGTAGACTATTCTACTTTTGTTGAATAAGTCAATGCAAGCTCTCATATCCTAAATACTATTTTTCCCATGTAATCTTTTTTTTTTACCCATTGGCAGTGTTTGATATCAGACAGCAGGCACATTCCTGTTTCAGTTTTTGTATTAATAGGACTGTAAAGGTACATAATTCAGTAAAGCTGCATACCTACACACACAGGTTAGTAATCCCCATTAAACACAGTGGAAATGGCAGTGTGCACAGTGCTAACCTGATAATGCAGCTACACAGTGGTAGGAAACATGAAGGTGATGGTGTGATGTGTTTGCTACTTACATGAGAAGATGCAGTGCTGGAATCATGTTTAACAGAGTAGCATCCAAATAATAGCAGTTGAGATTTCAATGGAGGCTGATATAGACTTTTCTTAATGCAGCCATTACTTTAAAACTTGGAGTTTTAACATTATAAAAGTGGTAAGTTTTTTGACACATTGGAGTGGATTTAGGCATTTTGGTTAATTTCTGAAAGCAGAGCTTCCTGTGAGCATTGCTTATGAAAGATGCCTCTGCTCAAAACTTAGAGGCTCCCTCTGCTCTACAGTACAACTCATTCCAGTCAGCAGGGTCACCTGAACCTTTCTGTAGCATTTCAGAAAGGAGGGGTGCAGAAGGCTGTTTTTGTCAGTCTTATTGCATGTATCTACATCTGGATTCACCTCATGGCTCCTTTCATACATTAGACAAAGTTCCTGCCTTATTTTGTTGAAATGTTTCAGTGTTTGCGCAAATGGGGTTATCGAAGATGTGAAGATATCTGCTGGATTAAAACCAATAAAAACAATCCTGGGAAGACAAAGACTCTGGACCCTAAGGCTGTCTTTCAAAGAACAAAGGTACAGCTTTGGCTGAAATTCTTTCTACTCACTCTCTTTGCTATATCAGTAGATCTTAAAACAACAACAACAGATGTTTGTAGCTGTTTTAGTTTATGGAAAACAGTTGCAGAGCAACTGACTTGCTTTCTTTCAAATATGAGTTCATATGATAATGATTTTAGAAAATGAGTGACTTCAGTTTAACATTTGTGGAATCTTCTCTCAGCTGAATAAATATTGAAGTCTCCTCTGTCTGCATCCAACACTTTATGAACTTCTTCTGAAAAACTTTGAATGCTCTTATTCACTCAGTCTTATTGAAATGCAGATCATATAGAGCTTCATAGAAATACTTTACCCTTCTGTCACCCATTAGCGAGATGATGGAAGAGGAGTAGAATGCCTTGTATAGTTTCTTTGTGCCAATCTATTGCTATAGTTGGGAATGCAACGTGATTGACTTCATTTTGTTAACTATTTAAGACCACTTCATTGAAATGTAAATCAAATATGTTGTGAGCAACAATGCGGCAAAGGGTCATCCTTCTGGTTTTGGGATTGTGATCCCTTCTCTACAAACCTCAATGCATTCTCTACTGGAGCTACACCAGTTGCTTAGACAACTCTCATTCTTCCTAGCGCAGTCATTCTGGAGAAGAGTAGGTGTTTACAAATCACTTTTTATTTGATGGAATGCCATTAGGGAATCATAACATTGAGAAATGAATTTAGTGTATGACTAATTACACGAAGCTCACAGTCCTTGGAAAATACTATTAGGCCTGCCTGATTTTTTCCCCAAAAAAGTAGCTTTAGTTTAGGGCTTTACTATATGTTACATAAGGGAAAACCTCATGGGTGCTTTCTTTGGGAAAAGAAGCTGCATATGGCAGCGATTGGGGCATCTTTAAGCATCTTCCTCAGCTATGTCTTTTATACCCCAGGTTGCTTCTTACTGAGATAACTTTTTCCTTACAATAACAGCATCAGATTTTTGTTGTGCATGCATATAATGTAATTAAGTCATTTTTTTCTTTTGATATTTTCTCTCTTGCTAGCAGCACTATTCATTTGCATTTATGCTCAAACTAGTGCAGAACTAACTGTATTTTAATAGTATTTTCACAAATACTGAACTGGTGATTAGTAATAGATTTCTTTTTTATGGATGGTCAGCTGTGCATAGAACAAAGTTGTGGAGAAATTTGTTGACTCCTATGAAACAGCATGGTCAAATGAGCCTGCCAGCATTTCTCTGGCATTCCTACAATATGCATTTATGATGCATTGGTGGTCTCAAATGGAAGGCGGAAGATGGTGGAACCCAACACTTCCAGTTTATACCTTCTCTGCTTGCGTGTCTGGAGGCAATTCTTGCTCATTAACTGTACTGCCTCTGCCTGATCAGTGGTTATTATAGGCCTCATGTGACATCTTACAACATACATTATTTTATTTGTAATCTTTAATTTCCAGTTTTTCCCTGGTGACTTGCTTAGTGGCCTTGAGTATGACCTCAGGGTTTTTTTTTTTTTTTCATTTTAATACAGTACTCGCATTGATTTAAATCAGTACGTCATTTGTGTAAACAACACTTATGTAAGTGTTATAACAGTGGTGGCTGCACTGCAGAATTGGAGTCTGTGTCTGAATGGTCCAAGTGGTCATGTATTTCCTTTAAAAAAAAAAAAATCGAAGCTCCTATATCTTGTGCCAAGGATCTGGAAATGATTCATTCCTTTCTGTAATTTTGTGAAAACCATCTGTTGACTTCAGTAAATCAGCATTTCATGAACCAGGGAAAATTTGCCATTTGGGGATCATTCTTCCAAACCAAATTACCCTGCACAACCCATAAATAATCTTATATCATTCTACTTGTGTATGGACCTTAGGAGTTGCTTACATTGATCTTTACTCTTAATTTTTTAAAAAGGCACTGCTTGTATTTCATTGTTTCATACACACTGGGCCATTCTCATGATTACCTGTGCTAGCTAGCTAGCTAGCTAGCTAGCTTGCTTGCTTGCTTGCTTGCTTGCTTGCTTGCTTGCTTGCTTTATTATTTATTTATCTATCTATCTATCTATCTATCTATCTATCTATCTATTTATTTATTTAGAAAATTTCTAGACCGCCCCATTCGCCGAAGCCTCGGGGCAGCTTACAAATAAATAAAATACACAAATAACAATATAAAATACATGTAACTGTATAAAATAAGTTGCCCTGGCTAAAAAAGTTTAAAATAAAAATAACATTCACAATTAAAAACAATTAAAATGATGCTTGAATAAAAAGGTCTTCGGCCTGGCGCCGAAAAACAAATAACGATGGCGCCAGGCGGACCTCTCTGGGGAGCGCGTTCTATAGCTTAGTGGAACTGCAGTGAACCTTTCTAGAAAATGTAGCTTTGTGGAACAAAGCTCTATATAAATGGAACTATTAAGATATTTTTGGAAATTCCCTGTTTCCACCAAACTATATTGTAAATACATACTAAAATAAGAATGGTAAGTAACCATCATTTACAGCATAGAAATAATGTGTACCTTTTCTAGAGAACCTGTAAAGATGCAAAGTAATCAAGACCCTCTAAAGCAAATGAATCAGGAAACATAAATTCAGAAATTTAAATCTCAGGAGCCTAGTTCTGGAAAAGAATAATGGTGAAGAGGAAAGGGTTTAAAAAAGAAAAAGCTCCCACTGTAGCATTCCAATGTAGATTGAAGATCCTGGCCTTACTCTAGAGTAAAAAAGGAAAATATCATAGTTGCTAGCTATTTTTAAAGTACTGTTAGCTGTGTTACTGTATTAATGTCTGGCTAGTTGTTTAACTGGGTCTTCAAAAATTACAACAGTCTCTTCTTTCTCATTCAGTTATACATATGTAATCATGCCTCTCCTTTCTATTTTTATTTTGTCTGAGAAGCTTCCTAAAACTAATTTTTTGTTTGCTTCTGTTAGGAACACTGCCTCATGGGCATTAAAGGAACAGTCCGCCGTAGTACAGATGGGGACTTTATCCATGCTAATGTTGATATTGACTTAATTATTACAGAAGAGCCAGAAATTGGCAACATAGAGAAACCTGTGGAAATATTTCACATCATTGAACATTTTTGTCTTGGAAGAAGACGGCTTCATCTCTTTGGCCGAGACAGTACAATTCGACCAGGTTAGTACTTGTCTAGTCTGCTATTTAATCATTTCAGAGTCTGCACAGAAGAGAAGAAACTTGCATAAGCATAATGGCAGTGCAGGAGGTTGTAGGGGTGTAGCTGTGCTAGTCTGTAGCAGCAACACACACAATCCACTTTGATTCCTCAGGCTGATTTATTAGAGTTAGGGTCCTGCTTGCCTGGAGTGAGAGCATGAAAAAGAAATGGGTGTTAAGGCACACTGGAAGGTAATCTGGTATATGAACTTAACAATGCGAATGTAACCAGTAAATTTCTGATATCTGAGGCTGTGAAATGTGAATGTAAATAATTGTTTGTGTTTGGAGCATCAAAGCATAAATGCTAATAATTGCTGTTAGTCATGGAAAGATCATTATTGCACAGCTTTTCATTTAACTGCCTTTTGAACTAGGATTCTTTTTAAGTATAACAAATTTAAAGCTGGAGAGTACTGCAAGGCTGAAATGGTTTTCTGATTTCATTGCTAATTAGGTTGATCCTGAAGGTTTGAGGAATGTTGTATACTGCCTTGGAATAGAGAAGTTAGACTTGGTGATGCTCTGCCCCATTCCAGCTGATTTGTTCAATGAGTTTCAGAGAAACACGTTTTAAATCTATCTGCCATTCTGTTTCATCTTGGTTCTAAACAGTTTCATTAGCTTAACCAATCTGAGTGCTGAAGAGCAATTTCCAGGATCTGCTCTGAAACTATTCAGGAAGAGCAACAAAAATTGCTGCTGCTCTTCATGATCTTGCCCATGCTGCTCCCAGTGACCGCTTCTCCACTGATCTGCAAACAGCATTTTTTAGCAACCATCACTTACTTTCTCCTTGTTTCGGCCCTTAAAATTGCACAGATAGTTCATAATTTTTATTATTGTTATTCCAGTCCATTGCAATTACGCAGCAGCACAATGGTAGCTGGTTGTTGTGTTGTCTTGCCTAGTCCTAGTCTTAACTAGACTTAACTAGTCTAGTTAACTTAACTTTACTAGTTCTTTTTTTGGAACTGTCAGGAACATTTGCAGTTTATTGTTAACTATGGGTTGTTTAACCCCAAAACAATCCAGAGTGTCCCAGTTCAGGTTAGACATCAGGTTAACAACCTATAGATGGAGCAATTGTATGTTGCTAACTGAAAGCAGTAGTGAGATGCATATTGGTGACAATGCTCTTATTTGCTCCTGCTAATGCTTGACAACCCGTGATTTAAACAATCCGTAGCTTGTTAGATTAGGCCAGTTCATAGACTTTTCAGCAATGACAGTTCATATTATTTCTTTAGCATCTTATTGCTAAGCCTAGTAGTAATTAATTGCTAATAAATTTTGTATCTATGCCCATACGATGCATATAGCAAGGCACTATCCCAGTTTACAAATAGTGAATGCATAAAACTTTGTGTGGATCTCACACTTTCCTTCTGTTTATTTTCTTAGGCTGGCTAACTGTGGGACCCACACTCACGAACAGTAATTTCAATGCAGAAACCTACACATCCTACTTCACAGCTCCAAATTCCCACCTCACTGGATGTACAGAAGAAATTGAGAGACTTCGACCTAAATCACCACCACCGAAAGATCGAGGGGGTGGAGCACCAAGGGGTGGAGGAAGAGGTGGAACTTCAGCTGGCCGTGGAGAAAGAGGCAGAGAGAGAAATAGAACTAATTTCCGGGGGGATAGGGGAGGGTTTCGGGGAGGGCGGGGGGGTACTCATCGGGGAGGCTTCCCTCCTCGCTGAATGCATCCAAGTCTTATTTTTGCCTTTCCTTAATTCCACAATGTCCCCCTTTCTAAAGTATTAGCTCTGCTGTTTTACTTATTAGCCGTTTACTTCCATTTTTTATAGTGCATGTTGTGTGAACCAACCCCCAGATATAGTGCGTCTTTTTCCTTGACAAACAATATCCTCTTCACTAAGGTTAAAGTCAAAACAGAGGCACATTGAGATTGTTTCACGGGACTTGAAGTTTCATCTGCTTGGCACTTTTCCTTAAAACATAGCAAAACAAAACATAGAATACTTCTCATACACACTGAATAAAATTTTCTACTTGTCCTTTTAAACATTTCTTCACAGGCCTAAAGAAATGCAAATGTTTCCTGTTGCAATAATAGAAAATAGGTGCTGGTGATAAAGAAACGATGATTATTTTGACATTTCATCAACTTAAGACTAGTTTATAATATTAATTATTTTTGTTCATTTGTAAAAGGTGGCTGATCTTGAGAATGTAATAGTTCATAGATAGCACAAAGATGCTATTATCAATATTTTGTTCACACCTGACATCTGCATAACACTGTATACTGTCCAAATAGCGTACAGGTGGGCAACACATATGCCTCTTCTCAATTTCACCAGTGCTGAAATTATTCTACTTGCAGCAATCACAATAATTTTTCAGGTAAAGTGCACAGTGACAGTGTATCTTATTTATAGGCAGAATAATTGTTTCTGGATGTTGATTTCTGCTTGGAAATGAAATACACTTATCCCACATGCCTGGTTTTCTTGTGAAATGGTCACAATTTTCACTGCTATCACAGTGAATTCAGAAGCAATGGAGTATGGCCTCCAGGGGGTTTTGGTGAGGGCAGCGTGGTCCCTTGGTGCATGGCACTGGCATAGTACATTTCAGCTGTTCTTCAAATTGCAAAATTATTGTGTCTCCTTAAAAGAAAAAAAAGCTGAATGCTTGATTAATACCCATCACAACTTACCATGTTCACTGAATTAAAAAAAAGTTCAGTTTATTTCAAAAAGGCTCAAACAGATTTTTATATTAATATATTTCCTTAAACATAAGCACCATTGAGCTTAGAGAAATTCGAGTATATGTTTAACCATTAATGCCATTGTGATTTAGAAATGCCCAACTTTGTCTGAATTGTGCTGTAAATATAGTGATAGCCAAAAGAATGCAAGAAAATTATTTGTAGAATGCTGCTTGTAAAGACAAACATGTTCATTGTTAGAGCAGCCAGAAGCACTGTTCCATATGTAAATACTAGGGAGAAGCGTGGCTTGTTTTTGCTTTAGTTTGAATTTTGTTTTTCTTAAAAGAGCTGTTTGTGAATTGGTTATATACAGTGATATCCACTCAAATGTTGGCCATTCTAGTCTGGTGAACTCTGACAAGGAAATCTTAAGTACTGAACTTCAGCTCAGAATCTTTTGTACTTTGGTTCCTAGATGCCAGCTTTTAAATATCCTTTTTAAGTGAAAACAATGGAATTTATTTTACTATTTTTGATAAACATTATTTTATTGGAGATCTGCCTTTATTTAAATGTAGATAGAGTACTTGCTTAATAACCAGATTCCTGCTTATCAATTTCCGCCTTTACAGTTAGGGTGTCATCTTGTGCTCTCTGATAGCCATAGGAACATTTGGAGCCCCAGCTTTGCTCTAGGGAAAGTGCTCTGAATTTAGAGTGCTCTCCCTCTGCCCTTGCAGTTAGCATGGTTCTTTTTGTGCTGACTATACCTCTGAGTCACAAGTGTGGCTTTGGAGCTGGCACTGCCGGGAGGGTTCCTGGGGACAGGAGGAACAAGGTGCTATTGGGGTGTAAGGAATCCCAGTGGTGCCTTGTCTCTTTTCCTGACTAGTAGGGACAAAACTGAAATGGCCAAAATCAGCCAAATATTTTGGACAGCATGGAACACAGCACCTCCATGCTCTTCTCGCTTTTCTATGCCTGTAATCCTCTGAACATGCAGAGAGATGGGCAGCCATGTCAGAAACAATTTATATGCTCAAAATTTGAGCTTTATGAACTAATGGTTACTGTTCATATATCATCAGCCTTTTTGTTTCTGTATTTCTGTAAACATGATTGTGAGAGGAAATAAATTACCTCAGCTTCTTTGCTCTTCCCTTGCTAAGCTTTGTGATAGAATTTGTGACTAAGGCGAGCACTTTCAAACCCCAATAGTCTCAAATGTCAGTACATCATTTACATGTAATTCCTTAGCATGAATTTTGTTCAGATCAAGTTGAACATCCCTACTAGTGTGGATGCTCTCCCCCACTATCAACCCCTGCAGTGGAATTTTTTAGAAAAGATTTCATGGAACTTTTCTTTCCCCTACCCTAATCCTCCTCCCAGAATAAGTGGTTACAGACCAATTCCCCCACCAGCACCACCAAAAAAATCAACATTGTATAGGACCTGAAAACCACTGGGAACAGGTCCTTGTTGATATATTTTGGTTTCATCATTGGGGAATTTCTCCAAGAATATCAAAACAGTTGTTTTTATTGGTGATGGCCTTGTTTTGCTTCTTAGCATCATCTATAAGTTTATTCTAAGAAGGAAAATTTACATGTGTTCTGAATCCTCCCACGAATATGCATTTCTAGATCACAAATGGCACAGTTCAGGTACAGAGGAATCAGATGGCACCTTATAAAGCAACAAATGAGTATACAACATGGACAGTTCAGAAACTGCTTTCATACTTCTTTTAGAAGGTGGACATTTTGTCCCCTTTGTTGAGCTGTAATAATGAATTATAAGAATTTTGGGGAAGTCTTTAGCTAGAAAGACCTCAGTCACAGAGTTGTGACTAGTCACAGAGTTGTGACTAGTCACTATCCTAGAATGTGTATATCTAAGGTTACCTTTTTTAGATTGATTAGTGCTGCCACCTAGTGGAATACAAATTGAATTCTAAAGTTCCCATGATTTCTGGCTCACCAAAGTTATTTCTAGGTCCTATATTATACTGAAGCACTGATTATGTGAACAATGGACCACACTTCATTGAAGCTAAGAACTTACAAAGTAAAATAAATTTGCCTATGACTGTACAGCATCTAGAAAATCAGGTTTAAATGTCTCATAGCTGAATAAAGAATCTAAACTTATACTTTATTTCTACAATAGCTTTAAGTATATTTTTAATAGAAGGCTATTTTAAGCTTTGACAGTATTACATTCTATAAATTTATATGGATTTTTAAAATGACTGAACATAGATCTATCAGTAGCTAAACAGAAACTTCATTAGTAGAAGCTTTATACTTCCAAATACTAGATCCTGGGGATAAACAGCAGGGAAGAGCCACTGCCTTAGATTGGGTAATTCCTCAGATCATTTGGCCACTTGCTTTGGCATAAGGTGCCAAACTAGATGGACCAGTGGTCCGGTCAGGGCATCTTTTGTATTTGCAAGAGAAGTATAAGGAAGGGAGATGGCAGCAGCATCTTCATGCCCTAGAGATTTATATCACATGGAATACTAGAACTTCTGTGAGTGAAAGGATGAAGAAGAAGAGCATTTCTTTTATTGTGCTGTTATGAAGAAAGTATAAGTGACTTCAAAGAGGAATGTTCTAACAGGCCAAACACTGAATGTATAAGGAAAGCCCTGTTAGACAACTGAAGGTCTGCCAGGTCCATTCACTGGGTGATTGAGTTCTAGCAGTTCAAGAGGGAGAACTATGCCCACCATATCATGTAGATGAGATGGGGTGAACGTCAGGCCTGCAGAACAAATCTGGCCCTTTGGGTTTCCACAGAAGGTCAAGTCCCAAACCACAGGCTGTTTGATGGTTTCCTGTTCTTTCAATGCTTTCCGCCCCTCACTCCTAAAGGTTCAGTTGCTTCTCTTAATGCTTAGTAACTGGCTAGTTAAGTTAAACTAGGATGGTGGTTTTTTTGTATTTTGGCCCACCCACCACTGAATGGAGCCCCCAAGAACTTTGCCAAAATGGAACTTGACCCTTAGATGGAAGGAGGTTATACACTCCTTAAGTAGACCATAGAGACCTATTAATGACTGTCTTTTCAAAGGCAAAACACCCAAATGCTTTTGGCCTTTATACAAAGGAAATGTGCTCCAACAATTTGATGCTTTCAGTTACCACTGTGCAGTGGCAGTAAACATTTGGCCTTCTGGATTGTGATGGACTAGAGTTCCCTTCATCTATGACCACTGGCCATTGTGCTTGGTGCCGATGGAATTTGGAATCTAAAAACAACTAGAAAGCACAGGCTTCCTGCTCTGCCATAGTGGATCACTACATGAAGTACAAGGGGTTATCAAAATGTTAAAACAGATGTTACCATACATTCTGATTGTTTCAAGAACAAAATGATCTAATGATTTGTGTATATGAGTAACAAAAGCAATAGAGAAATGCCTGACATTCAAGCTGGATTCTAAAAAGGAAGAAGAATTCGAGATAATATTGCATATATGCATTGACTGCTCAAATGCATGCAAAAATTTCAGAAGAAGCTCGGTCTATGCTTTATAGACTATGGAAAAGCTTTTGACTGTGTAGATCATGAGAAGCTGAGGATGGTTCTACCAAAAAAAAAAAAAAACCTGCATCAGGATCGGATAATCCTCATGCATAAACTGTATTGTGGACAAGAAACTACTATTAGCACAGAATATGAAGAAACAGAATGGTTTCTTAATAGGCAAAGGCATCAGGCAAGGGTGTATTTTATCTCCCTATCTGTTCAATCTATACACAGTATATCTCATAAGGAAATTGACTAGGATCAGAGGAAAAAAGAACCTATATTGGCAGATGGTACAGAAAGGAACAGTAAATGACTCCTGATGAAAGTGAAAAAAGAAAGTGCAAAAGCAGGACTGCAGCTGAACATTAGGTGAACAAAAATTATGACTATACAACTTTCATGTCAACAATGAAGACACTGAAATTGTGAAGGCTTTTGTACACCTTGGTTGAGTCATCAATTCAAGTAGAGACATCAGCCAGGAAATTAGAAAACTAAGACTTGGAAAAGCAGCAGTGAGGAACTAGAAAAGACAATTAAGTGTAAAGACATTTTGTTGGAGGCCAAGGTCAAGAATACACTATGTATTCCTGGTCACTATGTATGGGTGCCAAACCTGGACAGTGAAGGAAACTGTCAAGAAAAACATCTATGCATTCAAAGCATGGTGCTGGGACAGAGTGTTGCCAATATCCTGGATAGACAAAAGTTAACAACTGAGTCCTGTATCAAAATAAGCAACATCAACACAACAAAACTTAATAATATGTTGCAATTTATTAATGTTTATGAAATGAAAACCACATGCTTTAAGCTTTGATAGATTCCAGTATTCTAAATCTTGCAATAAGAAACGTAATTTCTTTTAAAAGAACTGTAAAGGCTCTCCAATAGGAGTTATAACTGAGCACAGCCTGGCTTATTCTACATAAATGTAGGTGGGTTATATTATTATGAAAAAGGGCACTAGTGCATGAAATTAGAAACTGTACAAAAAAAAGGTTGCATCAAAAAGCACCTTCTGGTAGTTGGTCACTTAAGAATAGTCCCTCTTGTGAAGAGAATTCATCTTCTAGTATCTATTAGTTGAGCAGCTGACAGATCTCTTTATGAACACAACATAAGAAATCCACATAAGATGCTCCTCCATAAATATTCTTGTCTTCAACCAGGAATTGTTTGAAAGCTATCTCTGGCTGCTCCCTTTGCTTCACAATCAGGATCTGAAAGGGGAAAAAAGTGATTCAGGTGTTAAGAGAATTTGGAATACTGTGTCAAGTAGCCTCAACCTGGCATCCTTCAGATGTCTTGAACAGTAACTTCCATCATCCCCAGCAAGAAAGGCCAAGTTTTACCTTCATGGAATAAGGCGTTTTGCTTTGAAGCTGATCTATCACTGATCTTAGTTTCATAGAGTAAGGGTTCTCCACTTTCGGAAGCTGAGTCTGCATGAGGAAAATGTGTAGGAAAATAGTATATATGAAAACGTAAGAACATGTCATCACAGAAGAGGTAGGGGAAATCAAAGTGGTTTCTAAGAGTTGACCTAATTACAATTGATTTAAAATCCTGAGGGTAATAATCCCTCTAGCCATTGTTCCCAAGTCACTGAGCTGTACCCCTCTTTTGGGGTCAGCAGATTAACTTAGGGGATATGGGGCAGAGCACATCCCGAAAGTTGATCTGCTGCCCTTGGATGTGGTGGTGAATACTGGCCCATCACCAGTGTGGCTGAACTGTCAGTCCAGTCAATTTCTGTATGTGGGATGGAGATACTCAGCCAGAAAAATCTTCTGGGCTAACTCAGTCAGGCATGCTGTCCATTAAGGAAGTCATCAGACAACCTGGAGGTGATGATGGTTTGGTTAGTTCATTTTAATATTGTGAATACATTGAGAATACATAAGAATTGAGGAGGGGGATGGAACCCTAATTGAGCAGGGTGTAACAAGGCCCACTTGTTAATATTCAAAATATTCCAACAATGGATTAATTTGTGAAAAGGTTCTCCTTTTAAAGCTTTACCGCATCAAACTGGTTACTTCAGTTTGCTCTGCATTTAGAGACTTAATAATACTGACATCGATTTTGGTGTTCTTTTTGAATCAGCTCTGTACACTAATAGAGAACTACAAAGTTCAGATGGATGTGGCGCTCACATTTGCTGGGAGTGCAGTTGCTTGGCTCAGGAAGATGTACAAAAAGTTTAAAATGAGGGAAAGATTCACCTGTGTAAGCAACAACAGGACACACATGTCCTACAATAATGCCCCATGACTATTACAATTTGGGTTTATTCAAGTGTAATAGCACTTCAAAAGTAAGTTATCCTTCTAAGGTCATTCTTCATGTGTTGTTCTGGAGGATGGGTGAAGGTTGACTCAGTATTTTGTTGATAGTATGTTTGACTCTTGCTCTGGGTGTTGAGTTTCTAGTTTTACTATGTGCACTTCTGATTTTTAAAAGAAATATGTTATTCTCTCATGAACTGTTTCTGAGAAACCAGATCTAAAGCTTCTTCTTTTCTATTTTTTTCTCCAGGGACTTTTTTGGGGGAGATAGATGTGAAAGCTCTGCATTGCCACAAAAACTTCTAAAGCCTTTTTCTGGATTCCCCCAAACCCAAGAGGGCAGGCCAGGAGAGCCTTTCAAAATCTGCTGCTGGTTCTTGTTATCAAGGGTGAATATTCTGTCATCTGAAACATCAGTCAGCGACTTGTAACAGGCAAGCTCGAGTGATGGTGGGAAGGTCAGCTCTTGATCAAGGACAGTCACATGTGGCAGGTGGCAATGGTGAGAGTTCAGCTTTTCATCAAACCAGAAGAGTAAGGGTCAAGAGACAGTGCAACCAAAGACACTGTGATTTTGGGGGTGCAGAAAGGCATCTGGGTGGGCTGTGAGTTTTTGGGGGGCATGGATGCCTTCATGGGTTCCAGTTTAGTGGCTGGGGACTGGGAAGAGCATCCCATTTGCCCAAAAGTAAGGAGTGGATATTGAGAAGCATATCAGTGCCTAACAGTGGAGAGTTTTTAGGAACTCATACACATGAGCAGCTAACTATAAGGTGGGAGCAGTGGTACATCCATGCTCTACTTGTGAACCTCTTCACATGTATAGCATGTGAAGGAGCCCACAGTTGCAACTGAATGATACAAACTGATTTCCTTAAATAAATGCCATGTTTGATTTTAGGTCACAATCCCATGCAAGTTTAAACAGAAAAAAGGCCTATAGTTCCCCACATATTCCAGTCAGCATGGCTGACTGAGGCATGCTGGGAATTGTAGGCTTTTTTCCCATCTATATCCTATATATGTATAGGAGTGTGCCTTTAATTGCATTCTGTGCCATCTGCTTTACTGCTAGAACCTATTATCAGAGAAAATATTGGAATTCCTTTTATAAGACAGTTTTAATAAGTCTCTGGTTAAATTGTAAAAGGACTTTCTTGCCTTCAGTCCAAGAAACTTTGTACACCACTATCTGTTGGGAGGGTCCCATGGTGGCAGAAGAGTGGCACATCTGTGCAGTCCTCCCCATTTTGGGTATGGGATCAAGGTTGTTGATGGCAAAGGGGGTCTGTTGAATAATCCAGCAGTTCATGGCAGAACTGGACAATCTCTGACAGTTCTGTTCTGTTCTTTTCCAGTGTCTTTCTGTGAACAGCAGCACATTTATATTCTCCTATTTTACCAATAAGAGGGAGCAACAACCTTAAGATTGTACTGCTCAAATCATGTGAGGCTTTCACAGTTGTCAACTTGGGAGATTTGGTTTCAAGGTAAATGTTCTCCTCCAGGCATCACGCTCCACCCTTTACTTACAGCCTCAGTGCTGACATGTGCAAAGGAGGGCACATTAAATATCCCCTGGATCAACTCTGGTGGGGCACTGACTCCCAGCCACAAGAACATGTGCAGCCCATTTGCCAGTAGGAACACCCCTCCTTCAGAAAGACGTTCTTCTGAGCAGCGCACAGCCGAGGGGAGGGCATTGCTATTTACATCCATAGAGTGCTGTGAAGAGAAAAGATGAGGTCGTGAAGGTTGTTTCCCTTTTCTATTAGTGTGGCCATTGCTAGTAAATAATGTGAAGAGCAGTGTAGCTTGGAAAAATGGCAGAAACAACAAGATTAGGAACAAATGGTCTATGCCTTCTTAGTTCTGGTTATCAACATGTTTGATGAACAAAAATAGACCATTTAATGGAAGCCTCCCTCTCCGGCTCCCAGCTGCACAGGATAAATAAAAGACATTATTCAAGCAGGTTTTCTTATTTTCTGAACTGAACAGCACTAGCACATGGGAACTTAGGATGCATCTGGAGACAGTTCTGCCTGCTGGGAAAAGCCCTGCTGGCAACCCTGGGTTCTATCAGACTCCCAGTGCCTGCTGAAGATATTGCATGCAGGCAGACATTCAACCGGATATCTGCTATTGCTGCCACCACAGGTCTAATGCCCCATGTTTAGCACACTTACAATTGGCAGGAGTTGTGGGTAGAATAAAAGTTGGGTGCCAGCAACATCCATGGACATGACCAGTTGCCTGTGAAGAGTTCTTTCATCTGTAGGAATCTCTGGCTTGCCTATCAGTATGCAGCTTTTCAGAAGACTGTTCATATAGACTGGAAGCACCTTCATTGCATCAGGAAGAATAAGCTGAAAGATAAGAAAGCATGTAAAACTAGGCTTCCTTTTTTTACAAAGCTTTCACTCTGACTTAGCTGTGTTGTTGCTCTTACTGGCTGCTTAATTCAAATGGCCTTTGCTTCAAAGAATGTTCTTTTTTCTTTATGCCTCTCCTGCTATTTGTGATTAAATAAATCTATTATGAGTGCTTTGACAGAAAAAAGCCAATATAAATCTGAATACAATATATATCCAGTTTTTGTATTTTCCCCAGCATAACAACATTAATTTCAGAATCAGTCTGAAGGAGGCCATGCTGGATTGCAGGAATTACCACTTCGATTTTATATTATTTTGGCAGAAGCTACCTATGTCAGTGGCAGAAGCTACCTATCAGTGCCTTGAATGTTAAGAAGAAAATTACTCCTTATGATTAGAGCTTGGAAATGGAGGGAAAATAGCTAGCATTGCAATTGATTTCAGCTTGGGCAACAAATCAATTCTTCTCAAAATCAGTGTCTTGTTTCTTTGCTAACTAGGAAATAATGTACTATATGCTGGAACATATCTATCATAATAGCAGTTGTCTCTGAAGTTTAACAAGAAAATAGGGTGTAATCTTATGCATATTTAGATGGAAAACAGCCCTACAATTCCAGTATTTCCCAGCCAGCTGGGGAATGCTCAGAGTTGTAGGACTTTTCTCCATCTGAACCAGCATATGATTGTATTTGGCTTTTCTAATTTTATTAATTGAACTGTTCTGAGTACCACCACAAAAAAAGAAGATTGGCAAGATATAACTAACCTGTCCAACAGGCTGAATACAGGTGGCTGAAACATCAAACAGCTTCTTTGACCAAGCAATTTTCAGCACCAATAGAAACCTTCTTCACAGTAATCCCTCACTTCTTTTTTAACTGAGAAGCATAGTGCACTTTGATGGATGCCAGGAAAGGTGACCAGGGGCTCTTGGTACCCATGGGTACCATGCGGCCTATCCTGGACTAGACCCATTTGGGACCATCACGAGCATGAAAAGCCTCAGTTAAACCTGTTAATATATTTAGCTATGTATGTTTTGGTAAAATGAGATAATTAATTTTGTTAAAGCTTACAGTTTATTCTATGCCAAAAATTCTTAACAGATGGTGTTTACCTTCCTTGACTTTGTGTGTATAATTTAACCAATGGAAAATGTGTGATGTTTCTCCTACTGATTAATTAGGCCTTAGTCACAGTGGTATTTTTGTATTCTTGTTTATGTTGTGTTTAATTTAATATTCCCACAAAAGTAAATTGAGTGAGCAAGGATTCTGCCCTTTAAACCTTCTCCAAACCTTCTTTAACCTCCTCTGCACTTTAGACAGATTATATGGATACTTCTGGGTGAGATTTTTATCACCCACTACCCTGCCTTATTCGCGGAATTTTCCAGTAGTGTTCTTTTTTCTTTTTCTATTACAGAAAACCCATTAAAAAGTCAGAATAGCTACGCAGGGCCTTCTGGAAGTACTGCTAGTTCTCTCATGGAACATCCCATACAGACCCCTTTTGTGCCTTTAAACAGCTGCCTGTGTCATGATCTGCCTTGCAACCAGCCCTCTAGGCAGCTAGTACAAATCTATCCTTAGGCAAAAGACAGAGGGGGCAGATCCAGATCCTAGCTATGCTACTGTTGTAAATCATCATAGAGTGATCAGAGAAGAGCCAGGACGAGCTGTGCTTTAGTATGCCCACACATCTCTGGTGCTGATCTTTTGAAAACTAAAGTATGGCGGGACATCTGGAACAGTGCCAGCCCTTTTTGTTTTTGTTTTTGTTTTTCCTGTTTTATTTCAGAACGAAAACTCAGAAATTAAAGTTGTGCAAAACTGGAGCTGGAAGTATCAAATACCTGGCTCACTGCAGATGGGCTAGCACAGTTCTTTCTGTAACATGCCAACATGCGAGCTGTCTGATTCACCAGGATCTCACGGACAGTCTTCAAGGGTTGGCTGAGAATGGCTTTGTATGCTAGAAGGAATGAGAGATAAACTTTAGTTTCTCTCCCCCTGCTCCTATCCCCCATGCTGACTTTTCATAGAAGGCTCAAAAAACTGGAAAGGCCCACACATCACAATAAACCAGGGTTCCACTGGTTATTTTCCTGTTCCACTAAACAGGAAAAAATGTTCTGCATCTCCCAGCCAGGCTAGTTGGAGAATGCTGGGAGTTGTAGGACTTGTTCTGTCTAAGCTCACATAGAACCACATGCTAAATTACATAATCTTCAACTACTAAAATTTATGTAGGCTCCATTAGAGAAACACTGTCTAGGCACATTTTGAACCATTCTGAAAGCAGATTCAAAATCAATAGTTTATACTTTCTTAGGGTCAGAGTGAAAAGATGAATTTATGCTCAGAATGTATATTTACCATGTATCCAAGACAAAAAAAATGGTTTATCTTACTCTAAACACCATCACAATGACTCTGATATAAATTTGTCAATATGCATATGTTAATTGCAAACTGTGCACTGAATCTGAGATTGCTTTGTATCCAAGAATTTAGCAGATCAAAGGCAGAGGCATTGTCCAAGGTAGTACACATTTCACCAGCCAATTTCTTAGTTGTCTTTTTAAAATCTCTCTCATGATTGATAATACCTTGCATTATAAGAGAATTTAGGCACTGCATTCATTTTCATACCCCCTAACCTCAAAAGTAACACATCATAAGCTTACCCGATTTAGCAAAGAAATTCATAAGTGCATCAGTCTCACAGCTCTTGTAGACATCAGCTAACTGGGAGCTACAGTTAAGCGCAATGTTATGTAGGCGTAGTCGTCTTTGGCCACTCATGGATGTGTAAAGCACTGCACACTGCAAAGGCAAAGACAAAATGAATTTGGGAAGAAACTAAATCTCTTATTATAGATTTGCTCACAAACTGGGGGAAAAACACTTCATGACTGTGACCTAAAAATTGTAATATGTTAAGAGATTACGGGTAGTGGGGTTCAGATATTTTGTTTTTACTCCCCTCAGTAGGAGAAGCTCATACAGGAAGTAGAAGAATGGCTGCTCTGATATATAAGAACACATTATAGTGAATTAGAATAATAGTCCATTTAAACCCAGTACTATCTTTCTTAACTGATAGTAGTGTATGAAGGTCTAAGGAAGAAGTCTTTTCCAGTCCCGTTAATAGATATGGCAGGATGCAACCTACAGTCTTAATCATGCAAAGCACATGCTCCTATTGAGTCAAGCACTGGGCATGTAAATATTTACAAATACATTGTTTTCTTCACCACATAGCAGTGATTCCCAAATGTATGAAATCATATCCCTTAAAAGAAATTATCTATATATGTCTATATGTATATTACTATCACCACACACACTATCTAGAAATTTCATTTGGGATGCAATCCTATGGCCTCCTGACATTGTCTGGGAGATCATAGGATAGCCCCAGCTCTGAGGTCCTGCAACCCTGGAAACAGGACTCTAAATGTGGAGCCCTTGCAGCTGGTATGGCAAAAACTGCACCAGCAGCCTCTCCAAGACAAAAACCTTTTATTTAAGTTGTAAATATGACTTAAACTGGATGGTAGCTCCTCCCACAAAAGGAACTCTTGTGGTTGCATTCCAGTGCTGGGCCAGGCCAAAGGAAAAAGGGGAGGGGCTAAAATACCAATATCAGACAATTTTAACTTAACTCTCTTACTGCCAAAGCTGAGAGGTATTCAATAGTTTAGAAAGGGGGGAAAACTGCACAAACCAGGAAAGCACCAAAACTGGAGGAAAGGCGGAGAGGCCAGAGCAGGAGCTGGGGCTCTAGGAAACTCCCTAGGGCTGGAATGAGACCCAGACCTGAGATTCTAAAGCCCTACAATAGGTGTCTATGGCACTCACACAGCCACTTTCTGCGTAGCATTGCAATAACCATGGCAAATTTTCCATGTGACAAAAATATTGCTGATCAGACGCTGGGAAAATCTTACAACGCAAGAGTTGTATGTATGTATGTATTTATTTATTTATTATTTCGATTTATATCCTGCCTTCCTACAAAGGGCTCAAGGCAGCTTACATCATTCTCCTCTTCCATCTTATCCCCATCACAACAACCCTGTGAGGTAGGTTGGGCTGAGAGTCTGTGACTGGCCCAAAGTCACCCAGTTGGCTCCATGGCCGAACAGGGACTCGAACCCGGATCGCCTGAGTCCCAGTCCCATGCTCTTAACCACTACGCCACACTGGCTCTCCCAGTATTGTGAAAGAAGATCCCAGATGCAGCAGAAACAAGCAGTTAGACATGCACTGATCATCTGGAGAAGCAGCACTGCATAAGGACTGGTAACCAGCTACCTGGATCAGAGCTCCACAGTCCTCATTCAATTTGTCGTCATGCTTGAATTCCACCGTCACTGCTTTGTCACAATCTACTCCTGCCATTTCGACATCTGTGGTGTTATTCATGTAAATGGCTCCTAAGAAGTCTGTTGCTCTGAAACCTATAGAAAATTGCAAGGTTATCTGGTACATGTCCTGTGTCACTTCACAAACCCAGCCTCACTCCTTCAGTGTGCTGGCTGGCCACCTTCCCACCTCCTCTCCCCACCCACTGCTGCCAGCCCATTCTTAGAACTGATTTATTTAGGAACCTCCTAATTTCTGAGCCTTTGCCCTTGTACCATAATGCATAGAATGACTGCACAATGCCTTTTGAGTAATAGTATTAGGAGCTGTTTATCTGAAAGCACTTGAGGACTTAAAATCGTGGGGATGTGGGTGGTTTCTCAGTTCTTTTTTTTTTTTTTTTTAAGCATGCTGTTTGGAAATGGCTTGTGGACAATTTTTTACAAATGACCTTTTCAGGTTTCTCAGGGTTAGGTCAGTTCCCAGTTCTTCACAGAATCTTCTAATGGATCTGGACTCCTCCAATTAAGATCAGAACACAGTAGAATAAAATACCACAAAAATGTAAAATAAAATTGTTACCTGTGCTGGTACGAACCCTCATGATAGCATCAAATCCCATCTTTTTTCCTATATTCTTCCTAAGGTCATTCAGAAACTGGTGATTGTCAGAATGTACCTAAAGAAAAACAGAGAAGGACGAGAACTTAGCAAAAGCCTGCCACTGGATGGCAGCAATGCAACAGAAATGGCTCTCGCACTGGAACAGGATGCAAGCTTTTAAGAAGCCAATGATATAAAATCTCTCTTTTAATGAAGACTATAGCTACGCACCACTTGCAGGGCTCTCACGTAGAGGATTAAAAAAAATTCAAGCCATTTGAAAAGTGTCTCAGAAGGAACATGTTATTATTAGTAAGTCAAAGCCAACTTTTTCAAATGAATTAAACAATCAGTAATAGATGTTTTGAGTAAGGCAATTCATCCATTAAAAGAATAACTGGAGCAACACTGCATCATTAACTCAGAAGTCTGAAATCTTGCTACACACTTTGCTAAGTTTAAGAAAAATTGTTTTGCCTGTTTCCCTCAAGTTAAAACTAAAAGAGCTAGTTCAGCTTATGTCATTCACCATCCCCGGACAACCAGAGACATATCAGTGGAAAAGCAACAAGACTATGATGTTCACTTTAAAGTCACCAAAATCAAAGTGAGTTTGAGGCCAAACACCAGTTGTTCCTCTGGTTCTTAGCACTGAAAACTAAGAAAGAGCACAGTCTACATTGCAGGGGTGGGCAACTCCAGGCCCTCTAGATGTTTTGGCCTGTATTTCTCATCAGCCTTAAGCACCACAGACAACAGTGAGGGATGATGAGAGTTGTAGGTTAAAACATCTGGAGGCTACAAGATGCCCGTCCTTGCCATAGAGCTGCCTATGCTGTTTTGAATGGGGAAGAAGATCAGAATACTGCCTTTAGATTCAGGAAACAGATGCAGCAGTGTCCATGCCTCCCTTAACATCTACTCAGAAAGCTGATTTGGGCTTCAGAAAGCCTTGCCGGAAAAAGCTTCCTGGAGGCTGAGGTACGCATTACCTTCATTGTTTGAACAGAACAGAGTGCTTAGGAACTGCCCTGCTGTTTCCTTCATGAAAACCACCCATGGCAGCTTCCAGTCCAGATCAGCTCTGTGGCATGGGGGGAGGGGAAGTTCAACCTTTTCTCCTGCACTGGCTACCTCTGAAAATTGCATTCCAAGGGGGAAAATAGTTTTGGAAGCAATTGTAGAAGGGAAAGATAGGCCCAGGGGAAAGAATTAATTGATGCTGCATGCAGTCCTAATCTGGACCATGACCTCCTGTGGCTGGTGTTTCTAAGTTAAGAAACATGTTTGGTTTATCTTAAGCACACTATTTTAAAAAAAAAAAACCGATTCAAGTAACGTGTGGCTTGGTTCTTATTAAAATAGTTTGTGATTAACATGTTGCCTACATTATCTGAAATGTGAACAAATGAAAATGCCAAGTTCCACCTATTCTAATTGTTACTATTTATTGTTTCATGCTAATGTAGAGAAGGGTCTTGGCTGGTAAGATTCGGGAATTTGAGAGCACCCACTTTAGTAGGAAGATTTGCAGCTTTCCCCTCAGGTCTTCCCTTTTCAGATTAGAATGCTGGTGTCAAACCTGGCTCAGATCCAGCCTGCTTGCAACAATAAGTCATTCATCAAAACATCGTGTATCTTCAGATCTACATTCTGACCATTAGACAGCATCATTAGATCTTCATCCCCTCGTGTCATTTTTACATTTCATATTTTGCCTGTCCAATTCCATACATTCAACAAGATATGAAGATAAATTTCTGGCGGATACCTGGAAATTGTTGTATTTATACAATGTTCCTCCAGTGTACATAGTAACAAGTCCCATGGAAGCTACATCAACATACTGGTTTGGGAAAAGGAACAGATCCACGCAGCAGCTATTAGCAACACAGTCTTTAGCCAAGGTCTCATAAATATTTGTCTGTGGCTGAAACAGCATCTGGAGAGTTTAAAACAAGCATTCTGAGTAATACACAAACAAAGAACAGTTCACGAGAACAGCTTGGCACAGTTCAAGTTGAATTAGAAGAAGAGGGGGAAAAACAGTAAATGCAGTTAAAACATAAGTGCCCATGTAAACATTCATTGGCATCAGAGGCAAAGGCAGCAAAGCACAGATTTCCAAAGTCCATCTCCATTTTCTTGACTAGGTTTAAGCTGCCTTGAAAAATAACACAGGCCAACAAGACCTGCATGAATTAAGAATGCTGGGTTCATGCACCCCTACCCACAACAGTTGAAAAGAACATGTACTGTATTGAAAAGGAATCAATTGGTTTTGGGCTTTTGCACTATTGTTACTATTTTGGATTGCTTAACTGTACACGGATTGACATGACAAGTTCCCAATTATGGCTCAATTCGGATGCCCAGCACTCAAAGCGCCTTCTGACTGGAAGAACTTCTGCTATACTACAAGGCTGGCTATAATAAGCCTGACCCATTGGCTAGGCTAGGCATAAAGACACTGCTGTGCTACATTCTTATGCTACAGGACAGCAAGACGAATCAAAAGAAGACTACCAGTCTTGGCATCTGGTTGAGAGGTATACCTGCTAGAGAACAGCAAATAAATAAATGAATAAATATTAAAAATAAAAAATGAAGTTTTGAACAACATGTTCAAGTTTTCAAATGGAATACCTTCTCCTTTTCTGTATTAACCAATTTTCTGTCATCTCTGCTTTTCAGCTTCCCTGGTGCTTCTGCAGTAGGCAGGGAAGCATGGAAGATAAACAGCTTTCCAGAACATTCGGCTGCCTGTTAGAAAGACAGAAGCAAAAATGACCTTTATTCTACTACATTTATAAACATTTTAGCCAAATCTTCATGCATTTTAGCTGAGCTTCAAATGTTAGTGTAAACTACCTCTGAACTTTACAGACTAAATAGTCCATTTGTTCAAGTCCTGAACATTTTGTGGCACCCAATTTCCCAACAGAAAATAACCAGGAAGTTGAAAACTGAATATCCACACACAACTTAATCTACCACAGAGATGTCTGAGTAAGGCTACAAACTATCCATTAATGTTTTTAAAACGTTGGAAAAAATTATGCTGCTAATTAATACAAATTGTATTCTAGAAACGATTAATTGGCATGAAGGAATTTAAAAAAAAAATCTACAGCACACCCCAAAAACATTTGTCCACATGTAATATATACTTGGATTTATTTCAGCTTGGTTTTGCTCTAGAATATGGAGCTACTGGACTGGTCCTTTGGGTTCACTGTGGGTTGTTAGTCCCCTCCCTCCGCATCCTTTCCCCTCAGCCCTCCCACTGGTATCTCAGGGCAGGACCAACTTATTTCCCTGCCACTGTCATAAGCTGTCTTTGGCTCACTATAGCATGTTGTTCCTTCATCCTTTTTCACCTGGAGATTGCAACATTCAGCTTCACACGGACCTTTTGTGACCCCATTTTGACAGCCACTGTCAATTCCCCAACAGAGCATGCAGAAGGGATCATATGGCTGGATATCTCCATGTCAAGAAAACCCAATTGCCCTATCAACATTCCTTTTCAAGAAGGAACCTAGGCTATTGAAGGCTTGCTGTCAAAACTCCTTTTTCCCAGAAAAAGTGGTGTGGAGGGGAGAGTTTGGGTAAAAGATGCAAAATATGCATCACCCTGAGAACTGGTAGCAAGGGGAGAAAACAGGGTTTTTGCCATGATTGGGGTATAAATCTAATCACATCCCTTTTGCAAACTAAGATCCTTTTACTTTTGTTTTCTCCTGACAGCTTGCCTTCTGACAGCTGTCAAGAGAAAGCAAAAGGAGAAAAACGCCTATTTGGACCTTCCTTGGGTCAATGTCTGGGACTGGTACGTTCTGCACTTGGACAACAGGTACCACTCTGGCACTGTCCAACTGAGGGTGCCTATTCCTACAGTTACACATGTGCAACAAAATAAGTAAAAGGACAATTTTAGAGCACATTGTTTGTGCAAAACAATTTTTAAAAATGCTTGCCAGCCACTGGCAACCACTTCAAAATCACCCCATTAAAGTACAGTTGGAGATCGACCCTTCAATAACACCAGCATTTTAACAATTTAGCATTGTTTTTAACCATTTTAAGAGCATATTTCTCCAATGATTTATGACTGGAGTTATTGATGGCACATCACTATCTAGCCAGCCAACTTTTGCTGGACCATCAGTTCAGCATCTGTTACACAACCAGTAAAATTAACATGTGGCTCCTACTACAGAGCTGTGGCTTCAGTCCTGCAGCATATGTGTCAACAGGGGCCTATTCAGAACTCATGTTTATGAGCAGCTTAAACTGCCATTTTTCCAAACTTCACAAAATAGATATTAAAAAGCTTTCCAAGCATCCATTTCCTCTTCCTAGGGAGATTGTGAAATACAAAAATATTGCAAGCATTTGATTTATGTCCCATAATATGCATTACTGTATTTGCTCACAGTTGGCACCACAAGGAGAAGAAACAAAGGGAAATAAACGCAGAGACTAGAAGTCTGCTTAGCCACCGGGATCACTTTCATGGTAAATATACAGAAAAAAATTCCATATGGACCCAGACTGGCCCCTTTGAAGTTGTGATGCATTCATTTTATGGGTTTCGGTTTTAGTTTTCATGTGTGTGTGCCCATAGAATATTTGTTTATTTCTTTTCACTCATGACAGATGCCATTTGGCATTTATCTACATCAATATAAATAAATGCATTTTCCTTAAAATTAAATATGCTTCAGCTTCTCTCTCCCCATTTTGAAGAACCTGATTCTGATTTACTTTTTTCCAACTACAAATGGCACCAACATTATTGTTACTACTGGACATCAAAATCAGATTACATCACAGCAACAAGCAAAGTACACACATATTAAAACATGTGCTAAGAAAATAAATAGATGATATCTAGGATTAGGAAGCCAGGAAGCACTTTGCAGAATCAAACCATGGGTCTATCTAACTTCATACTGTCTGCTGACTGCCACTCGTTCTCCAGGGGTTCAGACTGTCCTTCCTGAAGATGCCTGGAATGTTAGCACACAAATCACACACTTTGCTGTTGACCTACAGACCTGCCAGACTGATATACAGCAGCACTGTACTCCTGTTCCAAGAAAAGCTTCCCTCTCACCCCGAAATGTGATCACTAATTCAGGCTATGCTGTGGATTTTAGACCTGCACCTCAGATTTTACAATATGATAAAATGTGTCTGAGTCAGTGCCTAAAGCAATGTCTAAAATGTGTCTAAAGCAGTCTCAGTTGCCCTGTTTTCTCTACAGAGGTACAAGGGTGGAAGTAAGTACTTCTGAGATACAGTGCCATGTCCAAAGTTATAATTATGCATTTAATAAAATAAGTTACAAAGGGAAGAGATTATCCATGTCTGTTCTACCCTGTGTGCACATCCTGAAAAACTGAGATTGGCACTTCAGTGTGTGTGTGTGTGTGTGTGTGTGTGTGTTATATGTGCCACACTGAAGACAACATGACATTCTTCACTGACTGATGTACACTTGTTTTCTTTTGTACTGTGAATGAAAACTTTATGATTAAAGCGATTCCTAGAAATATCTCAACCTGCAGATTATGCAAGATTGTCAGTCGTTCTTCCTTGTGTTTTCTGTCATGACCTGTGAGTCCTGCACTTTCAACAAACCAAGTTTTTATAGTTTATCTCGTGAGTCCAGATATGGCATAGAGAAGTATATTCTAACCTTTAGTGCTTCCATTCCAGCTTGGATCACAGGAGCGAAGACAGCCTCACTCTCATTAGTGTCAGCAAACATCTCTGGAATCTGGTCCAGCAAGCTATTGAAGGGAGAAAGATCAGTGTTTCAACAAGCAAGAACAGACAGGATAATCCTTTTAAAAATGAAAAACGTAATGACACCAAGTACTTTTGCTGAATGATTTAAGCTTTTCTCTACAAAAATATAACAGAATTACAGTTGTTAAGTCATCAACTTTCACAGGACTACTTAACAGTTCCCTGTTTTGCAAGGAAAATACTACTCAATATAACTAAGAAATGTTCTGTTCAGACCAAAATCTGTTACTTTTGAAGTAAACTGCTGTTTTAAGAAAGGCCAAAATCCAAAATTAACCCAAGTTTGATGAATGTCTTTTACCTTAAAAAATTAATTAGATAGTCAACTATATGTTATGGAATTTAAATAAGTGAGTCCACTTGAATTTAATTTTTACAGTGCGAAATAAATGTACATAGATTTGGCCACAATTTAAGCTCCGGAATTTTACACACACAAAAGGACTGATAACATCAGTGTATAAAATGATTAATGCTACCAGATTTGATTGGTAGGCAGATCTAAGTATATATCTCTAGCCAATAGTCCTGAAAAACACATATTGAATGGACAGGCACTTTGTAATATGCTAAGACAGTGTCACTTTGGCTTCCTGGAAAATTCATGACTTTTACAAAGGAAATCACTGAAAAAAATACCCATATCTGAGAAAGAGGAGTATAAATTATTCGTTTACTTATTTATAACGGATCGTGACTCTTGAAAGTTGACAAGAAAGCCATCCAGCAAAGGTACAAACACTTCACTGACATCAGTGACAACCATCATCTGAGGCTGTGCAAGACTGCTCTTTACATTGAAGAAATGGAGGACTTTATTGTAGGTGACAAAGCCAACTCGGATAGGCGAAGTCTCCTCTTGTTCCTCCCTTGAAAAGAAATGGTTTTAGAAAGCACAGTTACATTTAATTCCAAAATGAAATCTCATTTGCATGTACTGGCCAAGTTCTACTGTGAGAAACATCTGACTGAAAGATCAATACTGTATTTGAACTTTACAGAGAGTGGATAAAAGGACATGCATATTTGTGAATCCACATTTGTCCAGTTTGGCCCAAATTTAGAACCTTTCTCAGAAGACACTCCGGAACAATGCCTTATTCCTGTTTCAGGCAAAAGCCAGCTGTGCAGAGTGCTGTTTGGTAGCCCTTTATGGCAATCACAAAGTCACTTCTTGGCTCCACACCCCAATCATTCTGTCAAGTGGGGAAAAGCCAAATAAATGATGAGATGAACCTGATGCGAGACTTGATGAATTTGGTAAAACATGACTAATTGTATTTTTACTCAGTTGAAGTCAATTGCCTGCTTGAAGGGCCAGAAGATATGAACTCTACCCCAGAATTATGTATATGTATTTTTGGAAGACTAAAGGTGGAAGGAAGACATGCAAGCAGGCCATTTTCAAGCATTTCACTTGTCAGTTGTTATGACATCTTCATCAAACTGAAAATGTTAAATCTGTTGAAAGTTTGGTGTCTTCTTTACCTTGGAAGTCTATCTAGTACAGTCTTCAGTTCCTCACAGATGAGTTTAACAAGACCACTCTTGATGTTATTGTATGAAACATCAATCATGAAGATATAGGCTGGTGGCTGTGGAGGCTTGTTGTTCTACCAATGAATGAATAAATAAATAAATAAATGCAAAAAGCATGATAAGTAAAATACTGCTAAAGTTTTAGTCTAACCAGAGATTCCCAAAGGATTACTTTTGAGTAGTTCTGTTAATTACAGGGTCATATCCAATGTTAGTCTAACTTAAATCACATTTGTTTTAATGAATCTCTAAGAAGGACTAACATGGAATACAACCAATACTGAGATCCAGTGTGGTGCAGTGGGTAAGAGTATGGAACTGGGACTCAGACGATCTGGGTTCTGGTCTCCACTCAGCCATGATGCCAACTGGGTGACTTTGGGCCAATCGCAGACACAGCCCAACCTACCCTCCCAGGGTTGTTGTTGCGAAGAAAACTTGAGAGCAAGAGGAAGAACATGACATAAGCCACTTTGAATTCTTTGTAAGAATAAAGATGGTATATAAATTTAATAAATAAATAAAACCAATAGGTTATTTGCATGGGTAAGTAATTGACACAAAAGATACTACCACTGATGTGAGCGCCTTGCAGTAAAACAGTGTTGGAAAAATATTTGCCCCATACGTCATCTGTGTGTTCTGTTAATTTTAACAAGTAGTTTGCCCTTTATTGTTATATTCAAGCATTCTTTTTGTGCAAAGCATGTAATGATCAAGTTTTGGCCTCAAAATATAGAATTGTCCACGGTAATTAGAAAAATATTATCTATCCACTTGCAACATTACTGAAAAAGCACTGTGAGGCAGGATCTGAGTGTGGACGTCAGGATTGGCACACATGAGGGATAAGATATTGGGCTCAGGTTTCAGTGAAAAACACACCACATACTTGCCAGTGCCAATATTTGCCCTACAAGGCTGGTTCCCTCCGAAGCAAAGCTTGAGTTGGGACAGTCTTAGTAGGACCAGTGTAGAAAGAAAGGCTGAACAGCCCATGGCTACACATCAAACTCCCCATTCTGATTTAGCACTATACAACAGTTATTTTTAAGGTAAAATTAGATACATTTAAATGCATATGTGCCTTTAATGTGTAAAGTTGCTTGGACCTCTATAGGTTTCTTCCTTCAACAAAAGTGTTGCATATAACCAATGAATCCACACCAATACTGCTTTTATAGACATATATTTTTGCATATTAATTAATGCACATTCTTGACTTGTGAAATACTGCACAGTTTCTGTGCACAGTGGGCTTAATCCAGGTAGGTCCTTCCATCAACAGAAAAGCTGTGATATAACAGTAGTCTCCTGTTGGAGGAAAAGACCACCTCATGCTGTTCCAGAGCAGTCTGTAAACCTCTAAGATCAAGGCATTTGAGAAGGCAATTGAGATATCAGATATCACTTGCAATTACTGATGGAGTCACCTTTGCTCTAGGAACATAAAGATGATAAATAACACTCCCTCCACAAAAGAGGGTATTCCTTGAATTCAAATATACACTTAAAGGGACCTACCATAATATTTCCATAATAACAATCACTCTGAGCTTAACATGTATTACATTCACCTAAACATTTGCAGATTAATCATGGCAACTGTAAAATGCAAGTAAATACCACATTTCACTTCACACAGAGCTTCAGCTACAAGGTGATAATAAAATCAGTCTTGGTGTTAGTGTACTTAGCACTGTAAATGTATAATAATGGCCCTTCTTTCCTTCTTACTCATATTCACAAAAATCTGAACCAACACAGCTCAATAAAATGAGAGAGCTGCAGCAATATAAATGGTGATCTGAACTTTTAAAAGCTGTTCTGATATCAGCATTTGCAGGAGGCTTGCAAACATTTTCATACTTTAGGTAAATTCCATAGCAGTTTACTAAAGACCTTGGCTAACTTCCTGGCACATTTATCGAACAGCAAAATGTTGTGTGTTTGCTAAAACCATTCCAAAGTATTGTACCACCACTCAACAGCTGTTATTTGTTAACATTTCCCCTAGCTGTTCATCCTCATTGTTATTCAGTCAGCAGAAAAGGAAAGTTGTGGGTTTTCCCTCAGTGTGAGTGGGGGGGAGGTAGTTTTGCATTCATTGCATGCATCGTACCCATAAAATAACGAATGTGCTGCATTAGTTAGAGATGTTCTAATGTATATTGTACACAATGAAAGGGCATGGACACTCAGTTCATAATTCAGTTAAATGCAGAACATTTTATACAATGGAAAACAATTTAATCCCTGATTTGCATGCGGAAGTGTACACATGGATGCCTTGGTACTTGAAAGACTGCCCAGTCAGTTCAGTGTAGGGACACTGTATCTGCAAAACCAAGGATCTGGATAGAGACTTTCAACTGAAGCTAATGGAGAAACTCTATGGGCGCAGTGTTCCTGGTCAATAATTTAATGAATGAGATAAGAGGTTTTACTGCAACCCAAAGAAGACTATGTGTATTCCATTAATGTGCCACACTCATCTTTATTTGGATTGCCTTTTATATATTTAGAATTGGGGCAACACACACTTTAAATACTTCAACTTAACTTGGGGCAGACTGTAGTTTGAAACCAACAATTATGACTCCAGTCTCATATGCATTCATCTCATAGTAAGTCTCACTGAACAATGGACAATAAATTCCCCAATAATAGTTAAGACTACCAGGCAGGGGAATCCCTTCCCACTATCTATAGTTCTCACAACGTTTTTACTTTTGCTTGCACTTTACCAATGCTATGGCTTCTCCTTGACTTAGCACACAGCTCTCAAAACTGCTGAGCAGACTTACCCTGCAATAATCTAAAGTAGCAATGTATTCATATGATCCTAGAGATAACTCTGGCCTTTCGTAGTGGTCTATTCTTCTGCCAACATGGTCCAGGTGTTGAAAATAGAATGGAGGAACTGAAGAAACAAGAACATACATTTCTTTTTAAACACAGATGAACAAAGAGAAGCCTGTGCTGCATCACTCTGAGTGTGCTATAGTCATTCCATAGATTTTATATGAAAAGAGCAACATTGCTGAGGAGCTTGGCCAGGAAAGACCCTGAAAGTGCCCCCAGCCCAATCAACAGGATACAGCTAGACGGATCAATGGTCATTAAGGTTGTTTGATGCCTGCTAATTCAGTCTTCAACAACAAAACAAGTATCTTGTCAGGATTTTTACAAAAGAAGGGAGAGAAAAGATTGACAAAATGGCACTCCTTCACCCTCATGCCTAGCTTTAAACACATGATTTCCAAAGCAACTTAAAATAGATTAAAACAATAGAAAAGCAAGCCTTGTTAGCTACCAGTAAAAAGCAATTGTGTCTTTCTCCTTACTTCTGAACCTCAGGGTAAGTGTAAGGCAATGAACAAGTGGCCATATATACAATTTTATACTCATTCTAAAGTCCCCTACGGTCCTTCACCATCCTTCATGGAAAAAACAGTTTGCATTGTGATTTTCACACTCTCCAGATGCAAAGCCATTGTGTAGCTTCTTTTTGTCCTTCAAAACCCACTAGTGATTCATTTTTGCTAGTCATCTATTGAGCAAGACTAGGCAGTTTTCTCTTAATCCTTCAGTTTACGACAGCTTTTCAAAGCTTTAATTACAGTGGTTAAAGAACACAGATGAAAGAGCACCAAAGAAGTGCAAACTATTTTATTGAAATTGCAATAACAGTATAAATAATAGTTTACTGTCACGCAAATATTTGGCATTTGTGAGAACTTCATGCAGTTAACAGCGCATGTAGGCAGCTGCCCCTCTATATTTTGTCCCCCAGATTAAAGTTTTCAAGCAAGTAAGAGTTGGCCTAAGTCTATCAAGGTTCAGGTTTCAGAACAGAAACAATTACTGTATTAGGGAAAGCTCTGTGCCACTTTGATCCAGTGGAGAAAATCCAACTAGATACAAATGTCTCGAAAGATTCATTCTAGCCAAGCCTTGGGATCCAGCCAGAAGCTGAGGAACTCATGAGTCACATGCAACTGCACTTGGACAAATATGGCTTGGCATCTCCTGTTCTACGCAACTCTGGTCTCAGTAAAAAGTAACTATTAAAATCCTCTGCCATAAAGAAAGGTGATGACCTGAATATCTGCCTTTTCTAGGCTTTAGAAAATAGTATTTTTTATTTTAAACATTATCAGTGTGTTCAGAAAACCTCACCTAAGACATACTCTATATGCCTCTCCATGCCAAAGAAATGAGAGGTACATCATCAAAATAGCTTATATTCTTTTGCAGAACTATTCTGACCAAAGAATTCAGGTACATTTAATCATCCTTACTCAGCACATGTACATGCAATTTTTAGGGAAAGCCTGTTCAAAGCCCATCACAAATGCCTTTTGCTCCTTATATTTTTCTGCATGTCAAAATATTCCATTCCAATATCTGCATCTGCAAGGAACATTTTCTTAATGCAGGAATTCCTAACTAACTCTTTGCTGTTTTAACCCCATAGAAAAACATTAGCTGGACTGTTTTTGTGCTCTTTCCATTTATGTTCATTCAGAAATGCTTCCTTAGGGCTCCTAGATCAAAAGCTTGAATGGACCTGTCTGATATTCAAGATTCCCCAGGTAACACAAGAAAGGACTGTCCATATTCAAATCCAGTATTTCCATAATAGAGCATCAAGTCCATATTGAAACACTGCTGGTGTACAAGTTGTTCAGGGTTTCCATTCACATGAAGTCAAATATTTAGTAAACAAAGATGCCTTCCTCAAGCTTTGGCAAAAGCAGCTCATGACATCAGAGCACAATCATATGGGAGGAAGTGTCATATCTGGGAGGAAGTGTCAATAAACAGCTGCCTTTACTTCTGAGAATCATGCCTCAGTTTGAGCTGTAAATGTCTAAAGTAAACACATTGCTTCTTGGGTGGATGTGGAACATCAAAGGGAGCATTTTATCCCAGTTGTACATGGCCCTTATTCTTGGGCTGGCTGAGAGACTCACGAACCTCTTCATTTCTCCTCTGCCTGGATAAGTTATTCACATGATCACACAAAAATCCCCAGAAAACACCAGTGGTGGTGACTTTTCATAAATACATCCTTATTTTGAACTTGAAAATGCTATGAAGGAAAAGGTTCAATATAATTCACCTACACTAGATGAGATGTCTATATTAGGCTTCTCCTAAGTGTATAAATCAGTGTGATGTAAGCCCTATTTAGGCATTTAGAGTCCAAAGCTGTGTCAGCAAAACCTGCTCTGTCTGCACCTTCTCCCGACCTGACCTCCACAAGCTGGCAAGGAAGGTCTGAAGTGAAAGCACAGGCATGCTTGTTGGGATGCAGTTATAATGACTCCAGAACATGTGAATGGGAACTGCTTCACTTCAGAATTCTCCCCTCGATGTGGGAAATTCAGAGCAGTCTCAGAAAGCATTTTCCTGTCCACTCCTAAAATCTCAAGTAAATGCACTTAGTATCGGAACAAATCAAAATCTTTGAAAGCTCATTTCTTTCACTTTGGTCACTTGTATTCACTAGTTTTATATTCGCCAAGAAAGTGGTTTCTCTGTCATTGCAATACATAAATGGAGTGCAAAGATGCTACTTACCATCATTCACACAGTTACAAAATCCACACTGATATTTCCTTCCTCCCTCAATGAACTGCATGAAGGGGCACATATAAGCTTTGCACCTGTTGCACCGGACAGGCCCTGTCTCACCATGGTTTACCACGTAGAGAGGTGTCTGCAGAAAATTAAGGAAACAACAGTGTAGATTTAAAATGTCATGTATATCACCAACCATCTTAGCATTCTGGAAGTGTGTGTCTGCTGGCATAGCAAAATGGGTTTCCAGTGTGCATGGCTTTCAAGCAGCGTAGGGTTTCAATGTCACTGGTTTTCATGCCCTACTTTCAGCTATGGCTGGGTTTTTATCAATATGAAGAGAACCCTTTAACCAGGGGTAGACAACTTGGGTCTTTTTTAAAAAAAACCTACAACTCCCATCATACCTCACCACTGGCTATGCTGGCTAGGGCCAATGGGAATTGTAGGCCAAAACATCTGGAAGGCCACACCATTCTCCACCCCACCTTAAACTACACTTTCCTGAATGAGCCCTCACTCTCCTCAAATAAGCTGTCACTATTAATAAATGTACAAACCATTGTTTGATTTCACTTATCACTTAAGTATAATATAAGCAACATTGTGAAACAGAAATTAAGACTTATGTATACTAACTCTGCACAATGAAGAAGAATGCTAAAACCCAAAGATTGGATATAATTAGAAGGCACAATTCAGGTCACTAATCATACACTCCTTTTAAGTTCTTATACTAATGGGAGAGATAAGCAGAAATGTATCTTGGTAAAAGTGTGGGATTTAAAATGGCATAACTCTGGTTGCATTCAGCCTATCATAAACAAACATCTAGAAAGCTAATCACAGATAATTGTATAGGGTAAGCCAGTGATAATATTAATTTAGAAGTAAATTCCACTAAAATTATAATGTCTCTTTCAAGAATCTTTCTTTCTTAACATTTTTGTTAAAGGATGTGTATTTTTTTATTGCTGAGAATATTCTGCTTAACCAAGGTTGGGATTGGTTGCTTTGTAGTTTTTCTAGTGAACACTGTTTATAAGTGTTTCATTTATTTTGGTGACTAATTCTCACAATCTGAATTTTTAGCAGACATTTTTTAAAATGTGCCAAAGTAATTGTTATTTTTATTTTACTTCAGATATGAACATTAATCAGCTATGTCAAACTGTAATAAGAAATTCTTACTTTCAAAATAAATTTATTAAAGCAAACTGAATGAATTGACTAATTCCCCCACCTGCCCACCCCAAAACCTCATACACTTGCATAGGAGCTTTTCTCTCAAACTGAGGGGGAAAACTCCTTTAAAACTGTGCAAGGTTGAGCTTTGTCAGCAATCAAAGCTACACATATGCATATACTTGTCTGAATAAGTGAAATCTAGGCTAGGCTCCTATGAAAATTTAGCATTATAAGTATTATTTGCTTCAAGTGTATAAGTTAAACGTGTGCACATCTTCCCCTACTGAAATTAATGAGAATTTGGAGCTATGTTTCCTAGGCAGTAGTTTCTACTAACAGCAGTGAAAATTACTTCTAATTGAAATACATAGGACAGACTGGCTGGGTTCAGAAATCACAAGATGCCATGGTGGCTTTTTACCATTGTTGGTTTCTTGCATTGTCTGAAACCAGTCATGATATTTCAACATGCTAAGTTTGATCTATAGAAACCACTGTAAGAAACACTGGTTTGTTTATAGTTTCTCTGTACCACCATGGCTGTGTTATTTGAAGCCAGGGTCATGATTGTTATGGTCCTGCTATGTAACAACCATAGAGTCCTCTGGAAAGAGTAGCAACTGCAGGAGCTGCTCCACTCATCCACCCTCTATGTGTGGAATGATAGGAAGAGGCAGATGACATAAAGCAGGATGGGGGATATTCACATAGGAGATTAGATGAGGCTGGGGACTTAGGGGCACAGATTAGAGTCACCCCCCCCTTAAAGTCAAGGGGCTCCTCAGGGCACTGGACATTACAAAGGTGCCAGGCCCTGACGAGTTACACCCGAGAGTACTTTGAGAGTTGGCAGGGGTTCTCTCACGCCCGCTGGCCTCCATTTTTGAGACCTTGTGGAGAACGGGTGAAGTTCCAGAGGTCTGGAGGGTGGCATCAGTGGTCCCAATTCTCAAAAAGGGTAGTAGAAGGGACATGGGGAATTACAGACCTGTTAGCCTTACATCCATTTTAGGAAAAACAATGGAAAGGCTCATAATAGAGAGAGATCTAGTGATGCTAGGTAGGGAAGGGAGGCTGACAGCCACACAACACGGCTTCCGCAAAAACAGGTCCTGCCAGACAAACCTTGTGGAATTCTATGACAAGGTTTAGAGATGGCTAGATGGCGGAGATGCAGTGGATGTGGTTTACCTGGATTTCAGCAAGGCCTTTGACAAAGTGCCCCATGATATCCTGGTGGAGAACCTGAGGAGTTTTGGGATACACCAGAGCACTGTCCAGTGGATTAGGGTATGGTTGACTGACCGAAAGCAGAGGGTAACCATTAGTGGGGAATCATCGGGATGGCGGCCAGTGACAAGCGGGATCCCCCAGGGCTCTGTTCTGGGGCCGATCCTGTTTAATCTTTTCATCAGTGACTCAGAAGAAGGGGTGAACAGTCTGCTGATCAAATTCGCAGAAGACACTAAAACTGGAGCAGTGGTCACAACTGAGGAGCAGGTACTCCAGATTCAAAGGGATCTGGACAGACTATGGAAGGGGGCAGGAGACAACAGGCTGGTGTTCAATGTGGGTAAGTGCAAGGTCTTGCAGTTGGGGCACAGGAATAGCTGTCATAAGTACAGGTTAGGAGACAGGTGGCTGGTGAGCAGCACTTGTGAAAGGGATCTCGAGGTGCTGGTTGACTGCAGGCTAAACATGAATCAGCAGTGTGATGCAGTGGTCAAGAAGGCGAACACCATCCTTGGTTGCATAGCCAGAAGTGTGGCTTCTAGATCGAGAGAGGTATTACTACCACTCAATATGACTCTGGTGCATCCGCAACTGGAGTATTGGGCTCATTTTTGGGCCCCTCATTACAGAAAGGATATAGCCAGGTTAGAGTCAGTGCAGCGTAGGGCTACAAGGTTGGTGGCCGGTTTGCAGGGATATGAGGCACAACTGAGGGAACTGGGTCTCTTCAGCCTGGAGAAGAGGAGACTTAAAGGGGATATGTTGGCGACATACAGGTATGTGAGGGGATGTCACACAGAGGTGGGTAGAGACCTGTTCTCCTTTGCAGAGGAAGGCAGGACGTGCTCCAACGCAGCAAAGCTCAGGGAACCAAGGTTCCATTTGGATGCCAGGAAGCACTTCCTGACAGTTAGGACCCCGAGGGTGTGGAATGAGCTTCCACGGGAGGTGGCCAAAGCCCCAACGGTGAGGGTGTTCAAAGATAGGCTGGACATGCACATGGTGGGCATGTCATGAGCGGAGTCGGCTGGTGCCAGAGGTCAGACTAGATGGCCCAGGAGACCCCTTCTGACTCGCTCTGTTTCTATGTTTCTATATGCAGGAAGTGATAAACCTTGGGATTGAATTTCAGGTGCAGTGGCTGATGGGATACATTCCAACAGTAGGAGAACAGAGTGGAAAGGATGGAAGCCATGATAAAGTAGAAACTACTTGATTGTCTGTCAGTGTGAAGAGCTAGGTTTTCTCCCTACACACATTCAAAGCCATGGGCTTTTCTTGCAAGAAGCGCTATATTGACCAAATCATATTCCAGAAGCACAATCAGCCAGAATGAATTTCTGAGCACACACAGAGTAGTTTACTGAAACAAATCTTGTACTGACCTCTCTGAACTCAACTTAGTAGTATGCTTGGGAGACATCCTTTTGGGAGGGGCCTTTTGGAAACAAATGTGTCTCCTCGCTGCACACCAGCCCTCTTATTGGCTGCCCTCCTCTGTCAATGTCATGCCATGGGGTAAAAAGCCATACTTGCCTTTTTTGTCTCTGAGAAATTCCCCTGTTCTGTCCTCTCCTATAACTGGACATCTTGGCTGCCTAGGCATCTGGGGAGACTGGCCTTGAGATAAGCACCTCTGGTTCTCCTATCTCAGTGTTTAGAATTGGTCAACATTCCAAGGCCTGCCTCTACTCCTGCTCCTCTTCCTCCACTGAGTTGCGACAACCCAGATTCCTGGACACCAGGAAAAGCTTCCTCCCTGTCAGAGCAATATGACAGCGGAACCAACTGTCTAGAGAGGTAGTGGGCTCTCCCACACTAGCGACATTCAAAAGAAACTGGACAGCCATCTGAGTGGGATAGTGTAACTTGGTGTCCTGCAACAGCAGGGGGTTGGACTCGATGGCCTTCATGGCCCCTTCCAACTCTTCTGTTCTATGATTCTATGAGTCCCAATCTGAGGACCTTGAGAATGTGCCAAGAACGATTGCCCTCACTTCCAACAGTTGGGTAGATCATGGAAAAAACTGCAACTGATGGTAAGCACAAAGGGTTGCTTGTCATGTTGTGTGAGCACAGACAACGAACTGAGTACTTAATTTTGGTTGGCTATATCTAAAATACAAGCATCTTGGTCAGAATGATGATCAGATTAACTGATCTGAGCTTTAAGAAAATGATACACACAGGCCTCTTTTTGTGTTGGCATAATGCTTTGCAAAAGAAAAAAGTGAGCATGTAAAAGTGAAAGGGAAATGATAATATTATATGTGTCTCTAGAAAATAGTAAGCTAAAAATATAGATAAAATGCTCAGAAAAGTAATTGATTAAGATTAGGCGGCTTCAGATATATTTATTTCCTCATATGTATCTAATATTTTACTATAGACAGGTGTAGTTATACCAGAACAAAGTAGTCTGGTCATGTATTACATTCAGAGTGGAATTTTTTTCTATTCCCACCTTTCCAGTGCCTATAAAAAGACAAGCTAGCAAAAGTTGCATTGCCTGGTTTTAAAGATTTTTACATTCAGTGATCTATTTGTTGCTATTTTGGTTGTCTGCAGCACTGAATTAGTATATATATATTCAAAATACCCATACGGCCTTTCTATAGCACACTCAGAGTAGAACCAATACTCTGAAAATTATTGTAGTATATTGAGATCTGCCACAATATTACTTACGCAACTAAGTTTAAACATGCAAATATAAAG